CTTAATTATCGTAATAGCAGCTCTTAGTGCATGGCCCGCGAACTGAGACCGAGGCGCCATTAATTGTCGTCACACGTCGAAGAGAACTTTACAGAACCGGTCAAGTAAGAGTTCAAATAAAAAAGGGTTCCAACGAATGCGCTTTAACTAACAGGTAGCAAGTACCAAGCTATTCTTTGACACACGAGTTACGAATATTTTGGGATCGTTTCGCAATGTGTGATCAAGTTTCTGACAAATATTTTTATTTTATTTTTATGGAAAGTATGTCTAATCATCCGGAAGATAGCTTAACAATATATCTATATTTAAGGACATTTGTTAAATAGGTCTAGAATGTAGAAGGAAGGAAGAAACATCGCGAGGAAACTTGGACTAATAATTTCTTACAAGTTTGAAATCTTCAAATCATTTTGGGCATGCGTAGAAAATTATTCTCAAACCTTATGCGTGTGCGTATGAGCTTTTGCTTATCAGTGAGCACTTTAGGCTGATGGTGTTGTGTCAATACATCAATATCACCATCAGCCTAAAGTGCTTAACTTGTCTGCATTATTAAGGGTAAAATAGTGCAGGTAACCTAGCCTATGATACTAAAAAGACTAGGGACTAAAGTGTCTATAATACCTTTGTTTTATAGACACTTTAGACCCCAGTCTTTTTAGTGTCGTAACCTGACCATTGGCAATGGTTAGAGGATCTCTCAAATAATACATTGTTCGGAAGAGCGTGTGTTCCTTTTTTGGTGGAAAATCATCCAATGATTTCTCTCAATCTAGGTGAGGAGGATAAGAGCCCGTAATCTGGATAACAGATTGGAAAGAAAAGCACACAAGTTGAGTCGGCTCCAAAAATTACAACTAAGTTGCTACATCAGCACACTGAGCCATCAGAAGTCATTGATGGAGGTCTATATTCAGAAGAAGATGAATGAAATGTTGATGATAGGTAGGTACTGAGACCAAAATTGACAACATTTTAAAAAGAGCCCAATCAGAAGCAACCCTTCTGCATAATCAATGGAGGAAAGGGGTTGCTGTTTTTTTATGTAATAAGTCGGCGAACGAGTAGACGGTTTACGTGATGGTAAGCAATCATGGACACCCGCAACGGAGGAGTTACTAGTGCGTTGCCGACCTTTTAGGGATTAGGGTTTTGGAGATTTCGGTATTAGGGAAGGCCTCCGGTAGCCTCACTCAACCGGCAAAACAAAAGGCCGTGGTGGTTTCAGGTCGGTTTTCTGTATGGCCGTGGTATCACTCCGGTCGAGCCGACCCATTCGTGCCGAAGCATGGCTCTCCCATACTTAAATTGAAGAATTTAATAGAGATGAAAGAAAGAGAAATAAGTATGTCATTTGTCGACAAATATTTTAGATACCACATCGAAATTAGGAAAGATTTCATTACTATTAATGATTATGATTTATGACCCTAATATTTTGACATAAACAATTTAAAGTGGGACAGTTGACAGGAGCTATTATAACTCCAACCGAATTCCCCTTTTTTGCATGATTTTGTCATCCAAGGCTGTCGTCTCAAGATTAGATTGCTAAGTTTGAGATAGATAGGTAGATAAAAGATTTTCAAAGCTGACGAAAATATCCCAGACTGGTTAAAAGTGTAATCTCTTAAAAGTCCAATCGTTAGACACTTAGACAGATGCCTCTTCTCACAAGAAGAAGGAATGAGAATTTATAACGACTGCTAAAAACGGATTGTTGTCATAAAACCACGAGGTTCTCTCACAATATTGCCCACCAATGACTAAATAAAGGCCACCACGACCTATGTATGTCATAAAATTATATCTTGGAATTTAAAACAAAAAACAGTTCACACCGACCAGCAACTTATCTGTCTTCTAACTCATAATCATTACCCGCCCCACCGCTTGTCATCATCATTACTCAAACGTAAATATAATAATAATTACAAAGCAAAATAATCAAGGGTTCTCGAATCTATATGTGGATCCAAAAACACAAATTAGGAAGAAGTAATACCTTTTGAACTCATAACATATAGGTACCTATACTCATTTATTTCACATATTTTTTATGTCAGTAATCGGCAAACGAGCATGTGGATTACCTGATGTGCTTGAAAGCAACCAGCGCCCTCCGCATCAATGGAGGAGCTACGAATGCGTTAGGGATAAGGGATTTGGAGTTTTCGGGATAGGAGGAGTTCTCACTCACACGGCGGAACACAACGCTGTGGTTGTTTCATGCCAGTTTTCTGTGAGGCCGTGGTAACACTCTAGTCGAGCCGACCCATTCGTGCCGAAACAGGGCTCTCACACATGTAGTATGGCTCTCTTTTTATGGCCCCAATCGAGTGAAGAGTCTTTCCTAGAACGAATTGGTACTAAGGGCCAGCTTTCGGCCTAAAACAGGAAAGGAACGGGGAAAAGGGTTCAGTCTGTAAGAGTCACACGAAACACTCCCCCTCGCCTCATCCTGGGCGAGAGAAGGGATCATATGATCGTTTTCCGCTCGCTATAAAAATGACCAGCATGTCAGCAGCTTTACTTAGTCTGCATCAACCAGATATTCGAATTGAGAGACTACACTATCCGACCCACTACACTATCAAGACTAAAATTGTATTTAAGTGATAGATTGTTATACAAACATTAGTGGGGCATTTAGACGCTAGTCGAACGGGTAAATAGTAAAGTTAATTGACACTGACATTTGACAAATTGACATCGACTTTTCTATAAGTACTTTCTCTTTCTGTCATTGGACAAACGTTGGTAGGTATTGGCCAATTCAGGGCAGGTCTAAAGCACCGATCAGATGGCACAATTGACCGTGTCCTCAGACTAAATTCCGATAGGTTGGGTGTTATGATCGCTGTTAGGCTGTTAGTGTCCATAAATCGAGAGATCGAGAGTGCCCGACCGATCTAAGTCCCCATGAATCGTGCCGTTTGATCGCCGCTAATCAGTTGTAGTAAGGATGGTATAGTAAACTTTTTAACGTCTTTCCACTTTAGTTTCCGATTTGAAAAACCATTTTAGATATTCGAAATGGTTATAATTAGGTATAAATAGTTTAATTAATGGTTGATCTCAACTATTTTAGTATAATGAAGGTTGGTTTGCTTACAAACACATACCACAAGGTATCAACCTAAAACTCAGATAGCAACCGAAGCAACCCATATTTGATGAAGTTTTTGATAATTTTGCCAAGGGCATCTACTTAAAATTCGTTTAATACCTACCTACTTAGTGCTTAAAAAAAACCAATTTGATCTAAGTACCAGGCGACCTAATGTCATAGTAGTCTCATTCGATATTCTTACACGATCTAATTTGTACAGACGTTGACTACAATGTTTTCTTATTAGAATAGGCAACCGTGTTTATTGGTACCTTATTGGGTATATCCTAAAAATGTAATGTTTGCTAACAGAGACATTAATCAATGTTTTTCGAGATCTAGTAGTTACCTACTCGTACTTTCAATTAGAACTAACCATTAAAGTGATGATTTATACATTGTTATTCAACTTCTCTTGTTTCCTGTATTTGTTTTGAATGTGTAAAAAGGTTAATGGGGGCATTGTTTACAAGGTGTTCGATTGAAAAATACTTTTAGTTGACGTAATAATATGAACGCAAACGCCAGCATTGAAGTATCGCTGCTCCACGGATATTGACGGTAACCCGACCATGTTTTGTCGCGCTCTCGCCGGCATAATGCAACACGACTCCTCGCTGCACCCGTGTTACATCTTACTAACAAACCGCTGTTCAATGCTCGTCAAACTAAACAACCAACTATGCAGATTCCCACTAAACCAGCAATGGACGTTGGAGTCAGCTGCAAGTTAGAATTACGTAGGGAATTGTTGTAAGCAGGATAACATTCCGTTCCGCTGTGTAGCGCCCCTAAGGTAATTCCCCAACCTATAATTTGTAATGGTTTTTTTTATCGTCGAATTCGTTAAGGTTTTTTCATTGTGGTGCATTTTAATGGTAAATTCTTATAGAGGTGAGTGTTTACTGTAGGTACGCAGAGGGCACCAATGAATGCCACGGCAGGTAAATACCTAAGGTCGATAATTGCAATAGCAATTTATATTCTAAGGTGGTAATTTTCTCAACCCTCTTATTTCATATTTACATAGCCATAGCTTATGTAGGCAGGCTAGGTAATTCTATAGCTAAACGCTTTTGTTTTGTTTGTTTACCATTGGCGGTTGTTGTACCTAATGGGAATGAAAGGCCCCAGTATTTTCCTTGTGAAAAGTTTTGCTCTTTCCTACACATTTGTTTTACCTAATGCAATTGTTAAACTTGTTTCCAATTTTTTTCAATTCTATATTTATTAAAAAAAGTAACGTAGGTAGTAAGTGATTGCTTATAATTTTTATTTTTTTTGGGTTATCGTGATGACTCTGTTTTGTCTGAATGATTTATATGGATCCTAAATCATGTTTGTTTACTATAGGTTCTGGGTAAGAAGTTGACACTGATATCATAAAATATTGATTGATAAGAAATTCATTTGTTATTCCTGTGAAGAACCTCTACTGTAAGTTCAAAGAACAAGCACATATTTTTAATTGGTAACATCGCTCACCATCTCCCTTCCTTTTCAGCTTAATGTCATAATACTCCAAATCAAACACAACCTCCCACACAAATTGCTAACTTAAGACCCCCACTGTAAGATAGCAAGTTAAATTCACGCGCCACTTACCGAGTAATGAGTCACTTTTTGTAAGAAAACTAATAAACAAGAGTGCACGCATTCTGATAAAGGTTGACACACACACGATCACAATAACCTAGTCCAATGACACGGCCATTCAACGCGACACCTAACGCCATCTTTTATCACAACATAGAAACAAAAATATTGTGGAGATTAAATACTCACGTGAACACACAATCTAGAGTTTACGTGACACGTCTACGATGTCTGCAAAAATTGCACATGCAACGGAAAAACACATTTGTTGACAAACAATTTCCGACACATGCAAATCGTGTCAACAACACGATCCTTCGCAAGGGCCCAGGACGGACTGTCCGGGCGTCACTGCGGTCCCTTTCGTGCTAGGGCAGACGTGCACCGGCCGCGCACATTGGTTGCGCCGACGACCAATCACGTCGCACTCCGCGCTCCTTTGCCACTGGCTGACATCGTCATAGCGGAAAAAGCGGTGGGGAAAACAACTGACGAATTCGTCTGCACTGACATACTCTTCTCCCGCCATTCGTTTGCACACGAAATTGGTGTGCGAGGCCACACCGCTCAAGCCAAGACACCAATCGCCTGCAGCCGATTACCAGGCGATGAGACCCGACACACTATCAGTGTCCCTTACCAGTCGCCATTAATCGGATCATCGCTATCGCCAAGATAAACTTACCAATTATTAAGTACCTATATCTTTTAGTCACGCGTAAAAATAATCAGTTACGTAATGTAGGTAGGTTTATTTCTAGCATTTAGAGGCATTAGCACTCGGCATTCATAATACCTATGTGCCAATGACTAAGGGCCGGTTTTTTGATCCGTAGTTAACCCAACCAATTGTTAAAAATCTTGACTAATGGTTAAATATCGACAAAATGTGTTTTTTGATCATTAGTTAGCTTAACTAATTGTCAAATTATTAACTATTAGTCAAATAATTTAACCACGGCTCGGTGGCGGGTTAACCAAGATGGCGGATAGTTAAACTAGATTCGACAGCTGATTCTTGCTTTGTTGTATAATTTTGTGATCTCATTCTGAAGAATTACATTATCTATAATTAATTTAAATATTGTCCGTTATTTTGATGCGTCAGACTCAGAAGATTTAAAGTTAGAACTGCGGTTTTCCCTGGAAATTTATGAAATAATGAATAAAATACCACATCAAAATACATAGTAAAAATACCACGAAAGTCCGCACAATATTTGAAGAGTTATGGATGACAATTCAATAACATTTTCTTTATGTAGTAGTTCGGCAAACGAGCACACGGATTACCTGATGGTAAGCAATCAGCACCGCCCATGGACACCCGCAACGGAGGAGTTACGAGTGCGTTGCCGATCTTTTAGGGATAAGGGATTTGGAGACTCAGGGATTGAGGAGGGATTGGGGCAAGGATTGGGCCTCCGGTAACCTCACTCACACGGCGAAACACAACGCTGTGGTTGTTTAATGCCGGTTTTCTGTGAGGCCGTGGTATCACTCCGGTCGAGCCGACCCATTCGTGCCGAAGCATGGCTCTCCCACACATAAAAGACATATAAAGAAAGACATTTCCTTACTTGTTTCCTGACATTATTATTTAATAAAAAGTCCTTTATTTGTTGCAAAAAACACCAAGTTTAAGAAAACACTATAAAACCCATAGACAGAGAATAGAATAGACAAGCTATTAAAACAATAATAATGGTTAAAGCGAGAAAGTGCAAATGGAATATATGTAGGCGTGAGCAAGACAAAACATATGTTTCTTGTCCCTTTTTAGTGTAATTATTATTTAAATCGAACCAATACGGTAAATTGCAGTAAAATTGGCTGTAAAAGCCGTAGTGATTTTTTTTAATAGGTCGGCAAACCAGCGTACGGATTACCTGATGGTAAGCAATCAGCGCCGCCCATGGACACTCGCAACGGAGGAGTTACTAGTGCGTTGCCGACCTTTTAGGGATTAGGGATTTGGAGATTTAGGTATTTAGGAGGGATTGGGGGAGGGGAAGGATTGGGCCTCCGGTAACCTCACTCACACGGCGAAACACAACGCTGTGGTTATTTCACGTCGGTTTTCTGTGAGGCCGTGGTATCACTCCGGTCGAGCCAACCCATTCGTGCCGAAGCATGGCTCTCCCACACTTAATGTGAGCCGTTAAATGTACGTACCTACCTATAATGTATATATAAGGCATTTTTTATCTCATGTCGTATACGCTATTAGCTTCTCTATACCTATACTATCTCTATGATAAAACCAAACGATTCAGTTTGAAATCAAGACACTTTCGAAAGTTTTGAAATATCAAAAATGTCATTTGGTTCAACTTCATTCATTATTGATCAGTGTTGTCAGTTAAAGAAAAATACCCCCAAATAAACACGTTTTTTCTAGGGAGGAAGTTGTTCATTGCACTGGCAACAAATTAACCAATGGTTATGTTTGACTATAGTTAAAGTTGACATCAAAAAATGAAATTACGTAATAACAATTGGTTACCCTCTTGACTATAGTTAAGATAACAAATAGTCAAATCGTATTTAACTACGGATCAAAAAACTGGCCCTAAGGAGCTGTAAATCATAACTAGACAGTGATTCACTTAACGTGTCAAAATTAACTACGTACGTTACTAAATAAATATCTCAACTACCTAAATATAAGAATGATGACTTACACATACTGACACAAGTGTCGAAATCGTTTTGTTTTCTAGTTTTGTCGGACATTTTTAGTCTCAATAGCCAAATCGTAATGATGAACAAGTTTAAAAAATCTTCGGTCTGTTATACTTAGGTAATTTACTCAATTGCAGAGTAGTACCTACTGACGCAGGCTTTAGGTATTCATATTATGTTCACATCATGTCTGACAATCTGTATGTTGGTGGATTTATTTGGTTCTGTTCATCTCTAGGTTCTTATTGTACCTATGTTATAAAGCGCGTCACACAATGATGTGGATACGCAGTTTTTTGAGTGTAGGCATTCTTGGAAATAATTTTCATACCCATGGTTAGGCAACGCGTGAACAGGCTGAAGGCGGGTATATCTTAATCGCTCGATAGAAGAATATAGGCGTCTGAAAATTCAATCAGGTAGGTTTTTCCATCATTACAGCTTCACCTATTCAAATATATTTGTAAAAAAATAGCTGGCTGTAACTTATGCAGTGAAATTAACACACAATCTTGCTCACGCCTCACATATTTTTACCAAGAAATAAAAACACCAATCATAAAGGTTTGTTTTATCAATCCCAAAAAATAGATAGGTATATCGTTGCCCAGAGAAGATTATCTAAGTAATTGAAAATGTATGAAGTTCAGGTCAAATGAAGAAAAGAGAAAAAGACAAATGCGTAAAAATTCTTAAACAAATCTTTATTAATTAATATTCAAAATCACAAAGGTGCATTTTCAATGCCATTTACACATGAGCTGAAAAAAATCAGGCCCAAGACTGAAACCGTACCTACTACCTACTAGGTTAACTTTCTTGCTTTGCTTGCTAACTGCCTTGTACTCGTACTTACATAAAACTCGTTTGCAATTAGTAATATTCAAAAATACGCTGATAAGACTTCATGACGATTAGAAATCGGTAAGTTTGATCATTGACGATGGAATGACGTTGCTTCTGTTATTTTTTTAAATTGGGTCTCTAATATCTACTGCAAGCAAGTTAAGTAGGTACAAGCGAAGCAATTGCAACAGTTTGAAAAATAAAATGGGCACTCCGCTCCATCAGACATTTATAACACTACAATAATTTATGCAGACATTACTTTTGTTTCATGATTTCAAGTATGGTCACAGAAACACCGCAAGTCAAATCAATAAAATCGTTTGTAATTACTATTTGAAAACAGACTTTGTAGTGTAGTCCTTTAAGTTTATTGTCAAACAATGTATTTGTTTTAACCCTTATCAATACCTTACTAAAGTTGCATGAGTTAAAAGGTAAAACCTATTCGTTTTAGTTGTCTAGAGCACCTGCCTGCGGATTTGAAAATCGTGGGCATGTGAGAATTACCTGCTCAAAAATACGAGCCGCATTGGCTTAATATTGACCAAAACAACAACGTATTTTTTTTATTTATGACACAACATTTATTTATGATTCTGACCATTTTAGTTATAATATATGTATACAAATCAGAGACTGGAATAATTTTGCATTATCTATTCTCCTGTTGTGGATGAAAAAGGCCTATTTTAGGCCCAGCATTTTCAGTATACGACACACACATAACGTCTAAAATAAGCAATATAAAATAGATAACTAACTAAACCTAAAGCCCTTAGGTCCCACTCTAAATTTAATGTGATTTAACATTCAACATACTTTTCGAGTAATTTTCTACATGATTTACGATAAATAATGAAATTACCGTTTCATATGTCATTGGATTACCTACCTCAATCAAATTAGGACAAGTTTAAAGCGGTGTCATTTAACATAATAAAGTAAATGAACAACAGTTTGTATAAAATATGAGATACATCTAGGTACAGAACCGTCGTCAATACCTACCTAAGGAATGGTCACAAAACAAATTATAGATGTGTTTTCGACACATAAGTTTCTTATCATATTGGATACTCAGAAACTGATAAGGTACCTAGGTAAATGAGGAAAATAAACAGTTCCAACTAAAACAGCACTTAATGCTTAAAAAACAAGCAACGTAAAGAGACACGTGACGTAACAGGAGACGCAATCCGTCCCTCTTAAATCCTTAAATTTCCGAAACCCTAATCACCAAATCACCTAAAAAAAGGCCGGTAACGCACTCTTAGCTCATCTGGTGTTGCAGGAGCCTATATGCGGCACCGATTGCTTACCATGAGGTATCAAAACCGCCTGCTCGTTTGCCGACTTATTACATTTGTAAAAAAAAGATAACCTTAAAAACATCCCACTCAAGTGACATAATATGTAGGTAGGTAGATACAATTTACTGCTCGATGAAGGTTGTGATCCCCAAAAGACATCACATGAAGGGATTTGCGGTGTCACTGGCACTATTTTCATCTTCATCTGCACAAACACACTTCATCTTCCGTCGTTCAGCAATCGACACTGCTTCACAGGTGGCGTTGTGTACATCCCACCAAATAGCACCACCAAAAACGTTTTGAAAATACGGAGGGACATCGCCTTTTCGTAGAAGGTACCTTTAAAAACATTATTAGATTCAGTTGTTGTGAGGGTAGATATAGTTTCGTATCAATGATTTCTTTTAATGTAGACACCTACTACATCCAACGCCACCTCTCTTTTTTACCCGACTACGGCAAAGCAAAAGGAGGGGCACACGTTGTCAAAGTGCTACGGTAGTAGGTGTGACTACGCCTTCCAGTATTCTGAAAATCTTGTTTTATACTTTATCAGCGTCGTTTTTTGTCGTAGTTGAGTTTTAGTTTTAATACTTTTTATTATTCCAAGTTTTTTGATGATGTTTGAAACTATCGGTACCTACTGATAATACACACAATGACATTGGGAATGCAGCAAATCAGTTCTGAGCACCCTTTTCTACCTCTTTAAACGTTATTTTCCACTTAAAAGGCTGTTACGTACTAAATCTACTGAATAAGTACACGGCAGGTTTAAACAATTACAGCGCACACGTTTTAGCTGAACAGGAAAAGTCTTACAAAAATACGAATATGAAGATGTCTGGTGTAACCGTGCCCTAATTATGTCTGGTCACTTGATATTGTAGGTACTTAAGCTTACCTATTATAATACAATTCTTATATGTAGATACCCTTATACATATATGTTAGGCGCCATCTTAACAAAGTTATCGATTGAGATACAAAGGCTATTAGTAAGTCAGAAGATAGGTATGTACCTAAGTAATTTGTCACGATGAGTTACGAATTACATGATACCATGATATAAAAATGTGTCAACCTATTATATATAATATGTATAAGTAGCTAGGTATCCAGTACTTTCAGCACCAGACAGAACAATTATAAGTATAAAACAATAGAAAAAGACAAGTAGATATTTAGGTACTTATATGACACAGAACTATCTGTTAAGGATCTACTTAGATGATCTAAGACAATAGTTTCACCATTATTGTATTTACCTAAGTGGGACGAAATAAAAAACGATCTGTAGAAAGTATAGGTGAATGTGAATGAATTATTTACTCTGGGACCGAGAGCAAATTCGGGGGAGAACAGTGTACCTAATATTTACAAACGACTCTTAGGTGTTTGGCAATCAATTAAATCTAATCCATGTTTGGGAATTTCTTATAGTTACAACTTAGATACTGATAGATACATAAGTAAAATAGTAATGTTAACCTTTTGGATTAAAAACTGTTTTGTTGGAGTAAAAACAACAAAAAAAATTATGAAAACTTGAGTTTTGTAGATTAGAAACACAAGTCATATCTTCGTAACCTGCAGATGGATTTGTACTTATCAGACCTAAGTGTGGGAGAGACATGCTTCGGCACGAATGACTCAGCTCGACCAGAATGATACCACGGCCTCACAGAAAACCGGTGCGCAGCGTGAAATAACCAGAGTTGTGTTTCGCCGTGTGAGTGATGTTACCGGAGGCCCAATCCTTCCTCTACCCCAATTCGTTCCCTTGACCAAAATCTCCAAATTCCCCAATAGGTCGGCAACGCACTCGTAACTCCTACGTCGTTGCGGGTGTCCATGGGCGAGGCTGATTGCTTTACCATCAGATAATCCGTTTGATAGTTTGCCGACCTATTACACATAAAAAAAATGTGTTGATAGTCACCTAAAAAAATTGCAAATGGCACCCGTCTAGCGTAGTCTACCATCACTACTGCTGTTTAATAGGTACACGCTTAACTAACGTTATGTTGACTTACGTGTAAAACTGTTCCTCTTTCTCCTCCTCTTTGCGGCGACGCCAGTATCTTTGCAGGCAAGGGCTCATGTGCTCTGCTTCTTCAACCTCCCTCAGGGAACTCTCCCGCTCCTCTTCCAGGATTCTTGCTTCATCTAAAATGATACGAGTACATATATTGACAAACTTAAGCTTTTTATCTCATACGAGGAACTACAGAGCTTCGACCACGATAACTTATATCAAAAGTTAAGTAAAAATTTAAATTTTTTAACTTACGTGTCTAAGTACTTATATACATATGTAGTTATGACGATATTGCACCTAATAAAATCGGTTCTTAAGATCGTAGCTCCGATTAATTCTCCGAACTATGCAGTTCGGAGAATTGTGCAATAAAATTGAAGGTGTACATCATTTACTGATGGATTATGTCCGGAACGAATATGATCGAGAATTACTCTTGAGAGAACTAAAACTTAATAGACTAGATGTAGGTAGACTTACTTCAATACCATGTTCAGACGCTAACAAAAAATTTTGCGTTAAATAAAATATCGTTTTCTTAGTCTAAATTATGAGAGATAATCACTGCCCTATGACTCAATTAGATGGAACACCGAAATGATGACATCGTGAGCGGCAATATAATAATACCACATATCGCAAGGATATTACCTATCTACTAAAACTGTCTTTAATAATATTATAGTGCTGTAATTTATTTGTGGAAACTTTTATTGCCTTAAAATTTTACCTTCTTCCAATTCTTCAGGAATAGATATGTCATCGGATTTCTGGGCTGATGTCGTAACGATGGACGGTCGAGCTCGACTTTGAATTTCATCTGACAATGAGACTCTTAGGTCTTCGTATATCCTAGACAGATAGTATATCATAGATAAATTAGCATTACCGACTAGATGAACAAGTGCTTACACCAATAAAATTGCAGATTATATTCACATAACATTATCAAATAGCATGTGACAGTCCACTTCTGGACAACGAGCCTCCTGCGCGAGAAGGAAAGTAATAATAGGTAGGTATAGGAAAGAGATACTGCGAATAGGTAGGCTTGATCAGAGTGATCCTCACATGTTACCGGCGTAAAACGACACTAGCGTTGTTTTGGAGCGTGATTAAGGTCACTGGAGACTCGATCTGCTGTGCCCATCCCTTGCAATAATGCATTGCTTTTATTTTTGCAATCTCCAAGGACATGGCACCATAAGGTTTACATAAGAATAAAGAAACTAAAAGTAGTTTGAAATAGATAAGAACTTATGTGCAAGGGCTTGTATGATGTCATCGATTTTCCGCTCGTCCTCGCGCCTGGAGTCTATAATAGGAATGTTCAGGATCATTTCGCTGTCTGATTCCATGATACGCCGGTATCGAAGCACTGCTCTAATTAGCTCCTTTGCACCACACAGCTCCTCCCTTTGTGTCTCATTCCATTCTTGTTCTAAAGTCCTGGTAAAGTTCAGTTTATTATTTTATAATAATAGCATACTACATGTCCATGTTTTCTGGGGCTAATTAACAACTGACCTCTCTCAGGGAGGGTCCGACTTTTACTAACTAAAACCACCCCAGTCCGTCTACTGCTCGAGATCGGGGCTTTAAAACCATGTCTATAATTTTCAGATTTCAAAATGGCATAACTATACTTGAAATAATGCTATCCTAGCTTTATAACAAAAGGAGAAGATTTTTCTTTGAAATAAAAGTAAACATTACGTGTTTTTGCAAGACGCATAACTTGGATCGTTGATATATGTTATACTGGCATATATATGATACAGTACATCAATGAGTAGAACGATATTAAGGTATTTTAGTTATAAATAAAAGCAATCAAAATCCTGAACAGATTTTAACAAAATAAGCATAATACCCTGAAAAGTTTGCTTATTTGGTATAATTCAAACCCAACATAATGAGACTCAGAAATATGGTGAAACCCTTCTTGGCTCTTACTGGTGTGCAGCATCGGCTACGTGGTAGCGGTTACCGACAAGCTTTTTTGAATTTGAGTATTGTTAGAAGGCTGAAAATTATTCCCAAACATAAAACCGTATCATAAAATCTGCCCGTTCCGACATTCAGAAAGATTATTACTAATTAGAGTAGACTAATTTTGCAGATTTAAGAAATAAGAATATCATGAACAAAAATACATTAAGAGCTAAGCTTCGCCACGAACGGACTGGCTCAACCGGAGTTATACCACGGCCACACAGAAACCAGCGTGAAACAACCTCAACATTATGTTTCGCCATGTGAGTAAGGTTACCGGAGGCCTAATCCTTGCTCTCCCCCATCCCCCCAACCCTTGAATTCCCTAAACTCCTTATCCTCAAAATGCCGGCAGCGCACTAGCAACTCCTCAAGTGTTGCCAGCATCCATGGGCGGCATCGATTGCTTACTATACGGTAATCCGATCAAAAAATGAGACAAACCTAAGGATAAATGCTCTAGGAAGGCGTTCTGGCAAAACATTGCATGGCTTTGTAGGCTTGGGGACGAATCTATCGAAAGGCCTCATCCAATGGTAAAACCCTTCTCCCGTATCTATTTTCAAGTCTTTGTACTGCAGAAACTTGGGAGTGTCGGCCAATTTCGATTCCATCAACCACTTCTGTAACATAGCAAATGCGATACACTAACTAATGGTTGCCCAAATAAAATAATATAAAATATTGAAAAGACAGTACTCAGTTCATTTCGTAAACCTTTGTATATTATATACCTGTGTAATTTTGGTACTCTTATATGAAAAACATTGCCTGGCATAGCTTAAGGATAACATTACCAATGTCGGCAATACATCCATGCTCCTATGTTATGAATCTATGAACAGACCTCAGTTTCCGTTTGGTGTTTCGGAGTTAGAATAGACACAAGGTTCCTGTGATCCCCAAATGTATCGTAATAATTTATAGAACACCAAGGCTTCCATCGACAGGATCGTTTGTAGTCATCCAGTAATGCTCTATGAAGAAGCTCTGCACAGTTCAGTTCACTAAACAAATACAAATGTCATTAAATGCGTTCAAAAAACCTATCTAATTAGGTACTTAAATTAAATAATTATGGCAATTTATGTTTTCATTCGAATCCGAAAGCTTTTGTACGTCTACGAATATTTTCATATTTTTCTTTTTTCTCTAGCTAGGATTTTTATCTTAAATCTGTTTCACCTACCGTTTCAGGACAAAAAATCTGAATTTTTTAGCTAAGTACATCTCTCTGCACTTTCCGTGAGAAACCACAGAACTTTCAGATTTCACATCAGGATCTTTATCATCGGTGGGTTTTGTTAATATCTCCTCATCATTCGGCAAATTTTCCGCCCGTTCTCCGGCCTGAGAAATTGTTGGTTCATCTGAAATGCTGATAGCACCTTCTTCATCTACTACTATTTGAACCTTAAAGGAATCAGTCATTTTCAACCAAATTGGTTCATCTTTTAAATCATCATTTGTCGTGGTATCTTCAGGTTTAGCCATTACTTTTACGTTGCAGTGTGTGAATGCACTGCATTCGGAACACGCTTCGTAAGATATATTTAAAAATTCACCATCAAAATTAGCTGACGTTCTGTGTAATTTGATTTCGTAGTGATTGTTTTTATTCACCACCACTGTTGTTTGGTTTGGCGAATCCACAGATACTGTTCCAGAAACATTATTAATTGTGATAGTACTAAAATTTTGATGTTCTACTGAGTATACAATATGAACCAAAACGTAACCATCTGTTCGTTCTATATTTTTTGACTGTTCTTCGTCAATTTTCTTTGAATATGTTGATTCGCTTTCCTTTGTGTATGTAGCTGTACTACTTTTTTGCGAATCTGACGCTTTAGACTTGCCGTCTTGGACCGTTTCAGAATCAAACATTTCAAAATATTCCATTTCTACATCTGCCCATTCTGGATAGACTTCTTCCTCGTCTATTATGTAATATGTAATTATTCTTGTTTTGTCAGGAAATGTAACAATTTGGACACCTTCTTTGTTAACCAAAATATTTGTCCCGTCCATGCGTCTGGAAAAAACTTCTCCCAAACAGTAATCGGTTGCCGTGCGAATCAGTAGTTTTTCTATGTTATAGGAAACATCATTAACCCACCTTTGTCTCAAACCTGTGGGTTCTATGATTTCATAATCATTTATTATAATTTCATACTCTGGTGATTTATCTTCTACTGGTTTATTATTATCATCGTGCAATGTTTTCGAAGATTTTGATGAGGCTTTGCTTACTTTAGTTTTACTTTTTTTCTTACTCTTCTCTGATTCATGCATTTGTGGTGGCTGGTCAGGAGGAGGGACCAGTTTTTTCTCATATTTCAATAATTTAATGTAAGTTCCATCTGGCTTAAGCACTTCAATTTCACCCGATTCTTTGAAAATAATTACTTCACCATTTAAACTAATACATCGCATTTCCTCATCGAGATGAGGAATTCGACAAGTATGGTATAGTTTGATATGTGAAAGTATAGGTGAGTTTTCTTGGTATACTGTTTCTGTGATTAAGCCATTAGGCCAAGTAACATAAAGAGAGTGGTAATATTTAGTTTCATTCATTTGCACAAACATGGAACTCATTTTATCAATTGCTGACCGTTTTTTATCAGCAGGTGGCGTGTCTTCAGTATTATTTGGTGTTATTGGGACACAATATAATTGCTTTTTGAAATACATCATAACTTGATCTTTACTTGTTATTCTAAACGAGTCACAAGTATCTTTGATGCTTGGTAGGACATAATCCCCTAAAGCTTTGTGTAACCAAAACTCATTGTCATTATTTCCAGGTATAATATTTAGCATTAAGTATTCTAAATTATTTGGTATCAGCAAAGTATACAAACTTGTTACTTTAGTACCGTCTTTAGAAAAAAATACAGCGTCTTTACCAAAAACTTCGACTCTCCTATCTCCCAAGTCGTAACCTAAGAAAGGTTTTTTGGGTTTATTAACAGGGCTTTGAAATTCGGCATTTCCATGATGCAAATGTTCAACAGTTCGTTGTGAGGAATCTGATTTAACCTTTTTACTACTTTTTGAAACCATATCAACGGAATCCGGTGAGTTCGATTTTTTTAATAAAGGATCCGAAGATTCTGCGCCGTCTTGGGGACTGCTTTCTTTTTTTAATGTATCATGTTTTATTGATCCATCAATTAACAATTCCATTTCAACATCAGTAGTTTTCAAGCATGATTTTAACGCATGAGAATCAATCTCATCTTTAGATACTGATTTAGCCTTCGATAATAGATTTTCGTCATAAATTTTCTCTTCGTTTTGTATCCAGTCACAATGCTCATCTAAAATAAAATCAAAAAAATCTTGCAAGCAAAGAGGCGTCGTTATGTGACATCGCCATTCTTCACGTGCGATACCTTCCTTGTCGTGACTATTGAAAAACATGAGTATAAAACAATCGGTCACCTCACAATATTTATAATCAACACAGTTAAATTTATTAAATGCGTCACGTAAAATTTGAAAAGCGCAGGTTCCAGAAAGATCTTCAAAAAAATCGTAATCGTCAATAATATTGCGCTTGGAAATAGGTCGGTTATTTTCGATTTCAGCAGCTGTTACTAATCCACTTATATCTGGACAATCAAAAAGGTATTTTAATCTACGGGCCTCGGGATCAAGGTCATCTTGAGAATATGCGCATTCATAGTCATTTTCGCTTTTTGTCATAGACGGGAAAGATGGCGACAGATTATGGCCACTAGCAGCTAAAGAAGGACATGCCAGCAGAGGTTCAGCAACAAGACTACGCTTTAAATAAGTCTTTTTAAACTCTGTTATAGTAGTCGTTGGTAAATGCCGCTTCTTTAATGAACTTCGATGGTTATACAATTTGCGGCAAGCTAGTATATTAAGAAGTCTATTCAACTCAGCTGTTTCAACATCCTCTCTGTCAAAACACGATAATAAAACATTAACATGAAAATTTATTTTGGCCTCGTGTTCACCTGCTGGTCGACTTTGATTCCTCCATAAATTGTTAATAGGCATACCAAGCAAAGAGGCGTAGACAATATTATCCAAATTTATATTTCCTAAATGAAATGTGTTATATTTGACGAAATCTCCATAGTCTATTACAATTGGATCTTTTTGATCTTCATACTCTTGTCCATACGTTAGGCGATACGTTTTTTTGGTGGCCTCCGTGTTACATAGGGTGTTAAAAAGATTCTTTACTAGATGTTCAGACATATCAAGCTTATGTTCTTCTGTCAAATGTCTGTTATGATAGTAATGAGGATTTATAGTAGCAGCCGTTGATAAAGAACTTCTACTAGCATCATCATCATAGTCCTCAGAACTGCATGCTGTTTGAAGAATAGCATCTAATAATGAGTATATCGTTACGCATTCTAGGGGTAAGTCAGCAATTCGTTGTGCATATTGTCTATTGAGATGCGCATCGCCAACTTCAATTGGTATATTAATGATGTGCATGTTCTCTTTGTAATGAACATGTTGTCTAGATAGATCTTGAATGTCGTACATTAAATAACACAGTTCGTCATATATTTTATCGGGACTTCCAGACAGATTTTCTGAATTCCAATACGGAGGAGAAAATACGATAAAAGCTGTTTGTTTAAAATCGTCAACAGTTTCTCTTCGAATTCGCAATAACTGTAAATCTTCCCAAAATTTCATAGATTTTTCAGTTAATAATTCAGTGGCACTCATACCTCTTTTTGTGGATCGTAACAAACTTGATGGTATTGAAGTGTTCGATGGATCTATTTTTATTTGAACTATTGCTGTCAACGGTATGCCAGCTTTAACTAAACACGATGGTAGATAAGGGTCTACAAATCCCGTCACAGCAACATAAATGTTAGGTCCGTCAATAGGATAATCATCAACGTATACTTTATCTCTCCATTCCTCACCCCTTAGTCTAAGTTGGGTATTGTATTTTTTATTGTCCGCACGACCATCATGTGCAGTTCCACCGTCGATGTCTTTCATTCGGCTTCTACTGCGACCAACCTCTAAGGGCAATCTTGGAGTTGTCGTGCCTTTAACTTCACCATGATCAAGCATCGTCACAGATTCTTTTTGCATGCCATACTTAACTTCAAGTCTTTGACGTCGAATATAAAGATACTCTTCTTTCATTTTCATTATAAGATGTTTAATTACTAATGATAATACATCTGCCGGAATGACTTTCTTTTCTTTAAGATACGATTGAGCTTCTTCAAAAATTCTAAGACTATCGTCTTTAACTTTTTTCTCTGCGCCTAACTGATTTATCATAAATATTGTCTCGCTTTTACAAATATTTTTTATTACAAAACGTTTCTCTTCAGCAGCAAATGTTTCAAATTTATTCAGATAAATCCGTTCTTGTTCGCTACCAGCAGCTTCAAGCATTATGACTTTAACCGTAAAATTTTCTTCATCTAAAGGTGCTTCTTGAATGTCTATTTTCCAAGCGTTTTCATCTGGTAATCCAGGACCTTTATCTTTTTTGGGCGCCATGAATGTTAAAGAATAGAAATTAGAGGATTTTAAACATTAGAAAACTTTATGTAAAACAATCCAATGTTTTGAATAGATCGTAAAATTGCCGTCAAACCCAACTGAAATTGACAATGACAAGCTGACGTTCTTGCCACAAAATAAGGTTGTCATAAAGAGAAAAAAAATTACCAGATAGTAGGTATACCAGGGAAAGTTAATCACACATCAGCACTTAATTCATACAAAAATCGTATTGGCTATCCATTTTATTTCATTATAAGTGCGGGAGAGCCACGCTTCGGAACACATGGTTCGATAGACCGGAGAGCTACTAGAGGCTCAAACCATACTCCCAGCCCAAGGGGGTGCGATAGAAAAAGTAAAGGTAGTTTTTTTGGTTGGACAATCATCCAATTTTATTCTTCAGTCTAACCCAGACCCAAGAATAAAGAACGAGGCGAAGTGGTCGTGGCATTTCTCTAGCCAATCCTTGGTAGGGACAACCGTTGCTTCTATTCCGTCACGGGAACGGAATTAAGCTTATCCCACATGAATTTGGCGGGGCAGTCGGACAGTCCTGCCCTAGCGGTGTGCCTATGGTCTCGGCGTGCAATCTCCCATCCTCGTGTCCCTACTCTAAAATGCTGAGCGCTTGCACCTCCTCTAGTATTGAGGGTTTTCATAGGTGGCGCTGCTTGCTTACAATCAGAGGGCCTTTTATATAGCTCCTACCCTCTTTCTGGCCCGGAAGATTCACGCTTTAATACTTCATGGTAGGCCTACCATGGGGGGTAACAGGGGTCGTCTTTGGCACCCTACCCCATAAAAAAGGTAGGTAGGTATATCAATCGTTCATAGCTTTATTCTGAAGGCAAAATATAATAGGCTCGATAAATGTGTTACTTATTTTTTAAAGTGCAATTGCTAACATCAAATTCTGCTGTTAAAACTTGATAGATAATTGACAACAAGGCCGATAGAATTAAAAGAAAATTCAGGACAGCGGCGTCCGGAACGTGGTGTTCGGTGTGACACTAACAAGGTTCGATAGGAAACAAGTAAACCTATTCTATTAGTCTAACTATTATCCATTTTTTTTACTAGATCTTCAACTTTATTTACAAACAATTAAATTAAAAATCATATAATTAAAGGAGAATAGTATTGTGTATCCTGCTCAGTGTACCTAATTTGTATGCTAGCCAGTGGCGTGCAATGTCCAGCAGTGGACGACAACAGAATGATGATGTTAGCCAGAGTAAAATTATTTTACACAAGCGGTGAAAGGTGGAAGGCATTAAAATTAAAAATTAAATTAAATAAAACAACTGGTTTTCGATCAATTGGTTTTTATTACATTGATAATGACATTGTATACACATATAGAACCAAATTTTTAAAATTAAACGTGCTTCTTAATTCTCTTAAAGAGAAACATATTTTTACAATAACGTATAGACAATACTCGCTTTTAACGGTCCGCCCCACCTTTCTTTGGTTTTAGTTCCCAACTTAAATACAAGTTCCAACGCTAAGGGAAACAGGGACGATGAAAGAATATAAAAATTAATACATAATACATTAGTCCTTCAGTTTACAATTATTTACGATTTATTTATCGTAATTCGAAAAACACTTTGATAAAATTAATGCAAGCTTAGGAGCTTGATACGTCATCGCTTTGTATAAAAAGCAGTTTGACGTGACGTCATTCGATATTTAAAAATAATCTTCAGAACGTTAAAAATCCGATAAAATATCTGTCCTCACTAGGACAATGTTCATCAATGTTCTATCGGTAGATAGTCAAAGACTAGAACATAGTGTTTATACACTCTTTGGTCAAAGACCTAATATATCAATCTCTATATAGAGAATATTTTTTGTATAATATATATAACATTAAAAATCAGTTCGTTCTCCACAGGCGCGGTACCTACCCAAATCACTAGGTAACACAGACAGATACAGCTCAGAAGTTAATAATTAAATTCGAAATGTATCTAGTCAATAAAATTTTTAATATATTAATAATCTACGTCAACCCGGCAAACTTCGTATAGCCTCAAATACAACTAATATCTTTTTTAATTAGTCATATTTTCTAACCTTCCCTGTATATACTTACAGGAATATTTCAAGACCACATAGGCCATGTCAGTCCAAACCTTTATCGATACTAACGAACAGCAATTTATTTTTAAATACATATGAAGATAATTTTATTATACGACAGTGCTCGTATATTTCTAAAACATCGATTCTATCTAGTTTTTTTTCAATACATTGTGTTAATACCTAATACTGAATTCAATTGAATTGGGTACTAATGTAATAATATTTTATAAATTATCCTAAACATCAATTGATACAATAGTATAAGTTAATGAATTATTTCTACGACATCTTAATACATATTTACTTAAGAGATATTTATTTATTTATATATTTCTTCAATTGATTAATAAAGCATATATATACAATTTAAAAGTGTATAAAGAATAATAAAGGTATAAGTAGATATAAATATTTGTTTGAGTCAATCTTAGGGCCAGGTTTTCCTCGAGTAACATATTTGACAGTTGGTTCAAAAAATGTAGGTTTTATATTATAATTAATCTTGTAGATAGTGACTATTCAGACATAGTGAAACAGACCATACACCTATTGTCATAGCCATTGGACAATTAGATATATATATATAACTATTTTATTCACTTGATATATATATGAGGAATTGACATCAGTGTTGTCCAATCATGATATATATAAAATTAATAAAACATTAAAGAGTTTAGGACAATGTTGGGCCATTTTAGCATATTTTCTAAAAAGAGTAAGAAGGTATACTTGATTCATAATATATTAGCAAAATACACCAATAAAAAGCACACCTTATCCTAAGAAAATGTATTGTTCATTTATGAACCAATATTATAGTATAGTAAGGTACATTTTAAATGTTCTAAAAAAACGAATAACACTCCAAAAAATAGAAGTTTCCGAAACTTTTTGGCCATCTTCAAGACTTTTCGTTTCTTATCATTTAAAGATTAATTTCCACATTACATTAAACACCTTTTAGGCTCTACGTACTCACCAAAACTAACACAAAATACAGTGATTCCCGGATTTTTTCAATAAATATTTCAAACTGTAGTACTTTTGAAGTTTAGATAAATATTATTTACATGACTAATTTAGGTAGAATGACACCAGTTTTTTTATTTGAGTAAAATTTTAGTAAACGACAGAGACTTTTAGTGAAATAACGAACATTTTTATACAATAATTAGACCCACGTTCTCAGTCAACTACAAATATCACATATTTTCTCCGCAAAATTACCTACACATTCACAGTTACAAATTTTTCGAGATTCAGGACGACATTTGTTAGTAACAATAACTCATTCTACTTTTTCAAAAATGATTATAAGTATAGAGAAATATTTTTAAGTTAACGACAATTTTATAACCACAACATTTTTAACTGTCTTTTTAAATATACACATAAGCACACTGATTTTAAAACCGTTCTAAACTCAACGTGTATGAGTATTGTTTGACAACAATAAGTTCTTAAAGAGACAGTGAGTGTCTCTCGTGTTTCGTTGATTTTAAAACAACACAATATTTCACAAACTTTTCCATCAACACTATGATGCGCACTTTCAGAAGATTAGATTCTCTTATCAGGGGATCAGCTCATTGTTTCCTGTAACGAAATAGAATTGAATTATGCACTGCTATTTCAATAATAATAGTCATAAAAGGCAGCCAAAAAAGAATACAAATAAAAAAGGAAGGTAAAGAAAAAAATATATAAATAACAGCGTGAACGTGCAGCAATATCCAAAACCTAATAAAAGCAAAAAGTTGTCTAAGTATTGCAATATATATTTATTTATGTTAAAATAAAAACAGAGTGGGAAAGAGATACAGATAGTGTGAGTGCAAGGGAAACAAAACCAAAAAAAATGAAAATTAAATTTAAAAAAACATTTACCTTTGCTTGTCTTGAACTAAAATATAAGTATTGCACAGGCACTAACTAAACATTCAAAGCGTCGCTGTTCAACTTACAAAGGGATGAATAAAACACACCATTGATATGTCATTGTTTTCAATTGACTAACTCCAATCCAACCAATCAAAATTACTCAAAATGTATACGAAAAAAAATCTAAATACAATTTTCCTTACAATAAAACCATATAGTTCAATCGTGACATGAATTGCTTTAGTGGATTTTAGCGCAGAGTTTGTGTTAAGCTGTGTTGTGACAACAGTGGCAAGGGTATTACCACCTGGTCTAGTAAATAAGTATAGTGAGGATTGAAAAATATGGCTCCTTTATTTTTATTGATTGACTAACAGCCGGCGCACAAATGATTATACTATAAACTAAAAATGCAATCAAAGCGATCCGAAATCAAAACAAAAATATATAACAAACTCTACTAGTTGTTTTTATATAATACACAAATTACTCTTAATGGATAAAAGTCCACATTTTATGAACCGATAACTTAAATTAAAAAGAACAAAATATACTATTTTCAAACAACAACAATGAAAAAATAACAAAAGCAAAAATGCTATAGACAAAATGGCACAGAATAATACTTGTTTAGGTACTTCCTAATAAAAGTGAAATACAAAATAAATATTATTAGAAAAATATTGCAAAATATAGTTTATATATAATATTAATTAAATAATCAGTCTTTACAGCGTTATACGTTATATTCAACTTGATCATCGACTTCTTACACTATAGACACCGTATTGAGGGCAAATAGTTTCCGAAAAAATACATCAGACTTCTGGCTTATGTGTCAATCCGAATAAATCGACACCCAAATCAGTATCAACCATACCCGTGGTCCCTGAACACTTTCTGTAACTCTTGTTTTTCTTTAGATGGAATAACCATAAATGCATTTTGATCTTTACGGAGCTTTGTCCAATAAAATATTTTTTAAAAATATTTTATTGAAATATTCTTTGAATTTGCATAAAGCAATATAATTTTGAAATTTAAGTAAGTCAAATTAAAATGTTGACACTCATCCAGACACAGATTTGCATTTTGCATCTCTTTCTTTCACTGCTTCGTTATTAATGCATTTCTTTTCTATTTCTTTCGATAATTTGACAAATTGACATTAGTTAGCAACTCCTTACCTGCCGTTGACTATACACCAAGTTACTCGATTATTTATTATTTGTAGTTATGACCTCAAAAGACTACAGAATACTACAGAATGAACTTGCTTGGTTCTCTCACATTATGTTATTTTACATTGTCTGGACTTGAAAAGAGACTGACCTCTGAGTTTGTATCGGCATTTCTTCTCAGAGTAGTCAGATACGAAATGCCGGCTTCATCTAGTTTTTCACATATAATTTGCTGGTAAAAGTGCCGTTTTATGGCCTATTTGCAAAAATAAATTCATTGTTTCATTGTATTAAATGACTGAAAATACAGGAGCAAAATATTACATGAGAAAATAATTTTATCTATATTTGTGTTATTTGTACAAATTTTGTGTCAACATTATAATTTCTGTTTCGTCAATTATTATCGGTCACATTCACATTATATGTGGTATGTTTCTCCTGACTATCCCAGACAGAAAGTTGTAATTAAACCATACTTATTCTTATTAGTATATACTATTTGGTTTTGTCCTATTTTTTCTTCGTAATAATCAGGCAATAAGGTGTCTATAGTAAAAGTCGATAAACTTAACTAATAAGAGAATAACAGTCGACTAGTAGTGTTAAAGATAACAATCAAGATTTAATTATAGGCCCAATAAGACTATTTGAGCTCTTGCACGACGCATTTACAAGGTCACTGCGCAGCTACTCTATTTAGGTTACGCCCTGGTTTCAATTTTGTTGGAATAATTATTTTTGTATTGGATAATCCCTTTATCGAGAAAGTATCAAATCATCAAGTTACGATCAAAGGGAGCCGAGCAGATGGTGAACTCGTGCGGTAGTAGTTAATGGTTAATATAGCATTATATTTTCTGAAACATTGATTTAACGAAATACCTAAATTTATATTTTTTCTAGTAAATGTTTCAAAAATAAGTAAGCTATTTGACGTAAAAACAGTTCTACTTCATAGATTTCTTACAAAATTCACAGAAAATATTAGTTTTTGATTTTTCAATAAAAGAATTGAATTTGACTAGTTGGAAACCACCGGGTTATGTAGATTTGGAAAAAAACGTGCAACCTGCTTAGTTCGTGCCTAAATGATATATAGTAATGTCAAAAATACGTATACCATATTTTATTCATACGCATCATAAACAACACGCGCACTTTAGTGGCGTTTCGTAGTTTATGTAAAAAATTTAAACTATAATAAGTGGTTCTGCACACTAGAGACAGGAGCACTTATTTGACATATATTGCCATAATATAACAGGCGGTAAACATTCATATATAAATTAAGCTACAAAATTTATAAAAAAAATTAAAATAAACTATACCAATTAGGTATTAGGATATAACTAAAACTTAACAGGAGATTCTAGTGTTCAGATTTTTATTCTGAACACTAGGATTGCTTATTATACATACACATTCGCACGACAGTTAAATAAATCCAAGCGAATTGCGTACCTAATAAGGTATATGAAAATATCAGGTAACTAGAGTACTCAAATATTAAATACATTTCAGTAATTATTAAGTACCATATGGGTAAACGCGTGATGACTAGCATGGCTTATCCACCTTATGCTAATCCGCCGATGAGTTGCTCAAGAGCGTATTTTAAATTACAAAACAGTTTCAAATCACAGCCATGCTCATCAATTGTGCCCAAGCGGAATGTCCTGAAGATTCTTCCCATGTCCATTTGTGTGACCGCCTTCATCTTGGGGCAGATAATCAGCTTCGTATGAGTATTGAAGTTGAGCTGTTAACAAAAATATATGGTGAGGCAACACAAGAAGTAGGCTGTCGATCGAACAAGTCGCGAGTATAAAATAAATATCATTATAATTCTAAAACCGTCAATTTGTCTAGTCCATTAGCTCTGACATAGCTTTGGTAATGTGATAAATATAAAAATAAATTGCCTTTTGAATAGTTACTTGCAATGTCCCATTGTTTAGATATATGAATATAGCTTGTGGGGTTTTGAAAACCTGTCGCACGTAAGGTAATCTGGCCATTGCATCACTTTCTTTTACTGGATCCGTGTCACCTGAATAAAAATAACACAATTATTTTTTACTTTATATATTTACTTCTTTAAGAAAATTGACATTTATTTAACATAAGCATCTTACCAGTTGTCTTTAGATTGTCTGTCATATATTTTTTAAAGTAAATAAGTTTCTCCATTTTCTCCTCAAGTTCTTGTGGATATTGAGTTATAGTCATATATGACTCGTGATCTTGTTGATCTACGTAGTGAACGTTCCTGCGACCAAAAATGTGAACATAAGCTAACTTTGTACCATTCATTGCTTTATTTTAATAGAGCTTCGTAAGGCATACTCACAGGCCATTAGCCATAATAATAAGCTTGGTGTTGTCTGGAAACAGGACGCCAATATTATCATCACACAGGTGATAGCCAAACCCGTTGCTGTCTTCAACCCATCTGCTTACCCACACCAACGGATGGGCTTCGGGATCGCTCAATTCATCCGGCAGACTATCATAACGATATTTCAGCTGTAACAAACACATATAAATCTAAATACGTTGTTTTTATAAATTCATTTTTAAAAAGCCATCGTGTTGTCTTATATTTCTACCTTTTTGAAGTCTTCACCGAGCAACAAGGTAAGTAGGCATCGAATTTCGTTAATGTTTTGTTCTTGAGTCTTAATTGGCTCCACGCCGGGTGTCTCGGCTTGGGTTGGCTCGTTCTTTGGCGCTTCCTCCACCGCTGTGGCTGTCGGTACTTGAGCTGCAATTATTAACTTTGAATAAGTTTAAATATTACGGTATTTTCGTTCCAACTTGTAAAGTTAAATACTTTTATTGAAATGTCAAAATCTATACTTTCCTATGAAACTCCAAATTAGGACATCATAGTATTGTTGGGTCAAATAACTTAGTCTATCGAAAGATCGATAAATAAAAAAAGTATAGTTATATTTTAATATTTTATTGTACTGAAACGTCGAATCAATTTATGTTGACCTAGGAAACTACGCAATTGGTTAATGACCGACTGGTAGTTCACTAGGTTCACAGTTTTTTTAATGATCATAGCACAAAGACTATTGTGTTCGATATTCGGCAATAGGTTTTCCAGGGCTTACATACTCTGCTTACTCTTTGAGGAATGAAAAACGTAACGTTATTGTTATGTGAAGTAAGTTCTTCGATATTAGCCAAACCTCATAAGGATATGAGAACTAAAAACTTTGGTCAAGTCTGCCACAGACTCCCAAATCTACAATCAATAGAATCTACAAGTATACCTATCCAACTAGATATTAAACAACTAAGTCCATAGATTTGAACGGCTGTCTTGGAGCCCACAACTAAATAAATACTACTAATAGGTATATGAACTGGATACCTACCGTTAGCACTAGAGCTAGATTCGCGGGGTGGTAGAAGGTATGTGGTGAACCACCCGAGATGGTCAGTCCTGGGCGCTGTGTAGAGGCAAGACAGAGGAAGTGACGTAGGCTTGTTGCCACAGATAAGAAACTCGTGCTTAAGTAGTTTATCCACTGACGGCCTTCGTCTAGGACTCAGTTGCAGCTGCAGCGATATCAAGGATGCCGCGTGTTGGTGTAATGATGACGGGATCCTGAAAGTATGATTAATATTCATTCTATTTTAGTTAAGGGTAATTTCATCGGGTTAAGAATAGTAAAAATGTTTGTAAGCTAAGACGCAGCAAATTCAAATATTTTTTTAAACCTAAGTATTACTAGACTAGTCGGCTGTCCTTTAAGCAGAGAGTTCGGGAGCTTCTTTTGAAGAGGTTGGGGGAATCATCGGGACTATGACTGCATATACGTATAAATATATGTTGTGACACTTTAAAATGTTGTGCATTTGATTTTATTATTACTTAAGTTTTTAGATGTAAGTTTAAATGTAACTACTACTAGTTGTCCAAATAAATAAATAAATAATATATGTCGGAGGAAGCTGGGAGTTGATTGTTACTTGCATTGCAATTGATTGTTACGCACATTAATTTTTGTTTGTGTTATATTCACTTTTAAAAAAGGTTTAATTAATTTAAATAGTTTTGTTACATTTCATAGTCTTAATTTAATTTTTTTTTTATTATAATTTTAAAACTAGAATTTGACTTCCTATGTAACCAATCAGAGCAGAGCACGTGCCTCGAGCGGGGTCGAGGCGCCATCTTACGTATAAAAGGTGAACAGTTTTTGGCGGGAACGGAGAGCATTAGTAAATCGGTCGAGTTGGATCGTTTAGGTATGTAATAACTGTAAGATTGATGCCCCGAACCCGCTGCTCAGTCCTAATTATCGACTTTCTTTTGCGTTATTGTGAAACAGACAAAACTATTGTTACCATCTAAATTAAAATAGTGTTTATTGTGATTATTGTGTTTTGTGCTCGCATTCTACCCTCATGACGCCCACTAAACCTGCAACCACTAATGACAATATAAGCGATGACAATGCTTCTCCGACATATATATTTACTGCCTTATAAATATGTATTATAATGTGTATATATAGTATGTATGTAAAGTGTATTATGTATATTTTTATATATAACGTTGGTATATGTAATTGAATTTGCTTCCTTTTTTATGGAATATGTGGCAAACGAGCAGACGGATCTCCTGATGGTAAGCGATCGGCGCCGCCCATGGACATCTTATAATCTTGTACCTGCCACTAGATTATCTCTGCATCACCCAAAGGTAGACTGGTAGAGAATCCTTATGGCATTAAGTCCGCCTATGTATTGTACATACAGTGTTTTGTGCATGAAGTTTCAAATAAATAATTAATATTAACATTTAGAATGAAATTAGGTTTTATAATAAATTATTATTAGGACTTTTTTTGATGGGATAAGTAGGAAAACAAGCAGATTACCTAATCGTAATCCGTCCGATGCAAAACACAACAAATCAATTACAAATCGGTAAGTACTTTATGTGATGTTATGTGTTAAATATCTGCAGTAAAATTGCTGTGAGAGAGAGACGGAGCACACTTGAAAACGAAATAAGGAGGTTCTCCGACGAGTTCAGCAACCGTTTAACTTTATTGAGGAAGGTATTATATTCATACATATTTTTCCTTTTTGCATCTAAGTTCCCCGTGGCCCGGAGGTTAAGGAGCTCACTTCTCATGCTGACGGTCTGGGTGCGAAACCTGGCAAATACTAATGTGACTTTTTTCGAGTTATATGTACTTTATATGATTATTAAATAATCAGTGGCGTCTAAAATTACTTATAAGTTTGAAATTGCCAACCCGCATTTAGCAAGCTTGGTGATTTATGCTCTAACCTTCTCTGTATGAGAAGAAGCCTTTGCTCAGCAGTGGGCACTTATAGGCTGATGATGATCTAATTTCATATCAAATGTTTACGAACAGTAGAGGATTCGCGTATTTTATGACATCATTGATGTGTGAGTAGGTAATATAATATTTATAATAATATAAAATACATAATATACTTACGTATAATCACAATGCTTGATCCTGCTGTATATGCCTTCGACCGTGGACGCGTCAAATGGCGGCTTGCCAACCAGCAATGTGTACATGATGCACCCAAGACTCCAAATATCGGCTTTATATGAATGACCCTCTAAGGTCAGTATCTCAGGTGCCATGTAATTAGGTGTCCCGCAATATCTCTGCCTTCTGTCATCTGTAAATAATATATAATCAATACGTGTGATTAATTAATAATAATTAGCGGCCCGCCCCTGCTTCTAACGGGTTCAACTGTCTCGCTAATAACGAAAGGGTCACTTTTTCACAATTTTTCTCTCTACTTTTCTGATATTTTGTTTGATAATAACCTACTACCGACAATAATAAATACAACAACAAAATTTTTTGGCAAAATTAGTTCAGGTATTGTTGAGTAATGCATGGTTTATCATTTTCCAATTCATTTTTGACCCTCCCCAAAAACCGCACTTATCTAATTTCAGCGAAATCGTTAGGGCCGTTTCCGAGATCACACGCTTTTTCAAGCAATCATTGCCACCTGCCAGGCTGATTTGTGAATCGAATCCAACCAGGGCACCACTCAAATGCATACAGAAAAAATCATTAAAATCGATCTAGCCGTTTAGGAGTTCAATGACAAGTATAAGAGAATTATATACATAAAGATATAGAAGATTCTGAATATGTTAAACAGGTGGAAAGTCTTAAAGATACTACTAACCATCATAATTAAATCTAGTAGCCAGTCCAAAGTCTCCGATCTTAACTTGGAGATCATGATCGAGGAAGATATTTCCAGGTTTTAGATCTCGGTGGATAATGCGCTTGCTGTGCAAGTACCGTACTCCCAGGAATATTTGGTGGATGAAATATCGGCTTTCTGGCACCGTGATGGTATTTCTTCTTATATGCAGCTCCAACATTGACTATGAAGAGGCAAAAGTACCAATTAAAAACCTTAGTTAGACATATTTTGATTTTTTTTTAATTTATTTGTGTTATTCGTATAGTGCGACATAAATGCTCACCCGACATTTACACATTTCCAGCACAATATAAACATATTTTGAGTCTTCAAAAGCGCTGTGGAATCCGACCACATGCCTGTGTTGCAGTGATCTGTGTATCTTTACTTCTTGACTAATTCTTCTCCTCTGGCTTGATCTTGCCAACACTTTCTTTGATAATATTTTTCCCGCCCATATTTTGTTTGTGGCTGTGTCTCTTATTTCATAGCAGGTACCAAAACCACCCTAAAAAGGAAGAAAGTGATGTGATTTAAGACCAACGAGTGATAATATAACTGCTATGGATATATATATGTATACCCAACCTATCACTGCATATATACATTAATATTACAGGTATTAGTATTACAGGAACTTAAAGCTATATCATTTATTTTTCAGATTGAAAATGTAATGCCAGTTTATTTTAATTATTATAAATTAACAAACACTTAAATAAAATTATTATTTTAACAGCATCAGTACAAAATTATTGAAAAAGAAACATCTTACCTTGCCACAATATCGCAACCTCTGATAAGAGCGGTTATTTTTTGTATCGCAAATAATTTCAGGTATGTCATTACTTTCTTCTTCTTTCTTCGGCGTCATTTTAAACTTGCTTAAAATTAAAATAAACACATAAACAAACTAATAAACTTATGATATATAACAATATGTATATGGTTTTAAAGAATTCATAAAGGATATTTCGAATGGGCATAATAAGTAAAAACTTGATCAGGGTGCTAGTCAAACTAACCTTTTCTATAAGATCAGAAACAACAATTTTATGGGTTTTAATATAGTACTTATTGCGAGTTTTGGCGTCATATTATAAAGAGGTAAAATTTGTAAGTTTGTATGTAGGGGTAATCTTTGGAACCGCTGGTCGGATTGCGAAAATTCTTTCACTGATAGGTAGCTACAATGTTCCTGAGTGCTATAGGCTATAAAAATTTACGCTACGATCAAATGGAGCAGAGCAGCGGGTGAAACCGCGCGAGAGTAGCTAGTTTCTTATACGTCAAATAGCATACTCATTTGATAAGATGTAGTTATTGTAAAATAAATTAATGTGTAGGTACTCAAATCAATTATAACTTAAAATATATTTTTATTACATTCAAATTACATTAAAATATAGTTAGATAAGTAAATCTTCTTCTTCTATTTATAACCTGAACTAACCTACAAGTCTTGCTGTACCTACACATACACATTTACAAAATACTCATTTTTTTTTAATTTTTCCTCATTCATTCCCTTTGTTCATTTTAGATCACAGTAGATATATTTCCATTTAGAATTAGCGCATCAAATTAAGATGCTGCAATAGTAATAAAAAAATTGTAAGTACCTACAATTTTCTACAAGAAACCTGTTCCAAGTTCTTAAGAAAAAATGGGCAATATGCCAAAATAAGCCGCTAAAAACAAATTTTCAATATTTTGTAGATACGCAAAGCTGTTTGATTTTGTGTGTTTCACGAAAATCCGTAGCCTTTGTTAAATTGATGCCAATATTGTATAGTGAGTAAACATATTAACATTATAGTACACCCCTTTCCATAAACTCAACTCATAAAACCGATACCTCTAGCGCGTAAATAAGTATATAATTATATAATTGTTTAGAAATAAATCAATGCAATATTTTGCCACCATTTTAGCTTGAACATAAGTAGCGGTGGAACAATTTATACGCTGAAAGGAATATCGCACAGCATCACTATACTACATATCTATGAGTACGATAAGCGAATTTGTACTTTGAAAGATGGGCCTGATTACTCGTACTCTATTCGTATCTTCTAAATACTGATATTAACTACACCGGATGAAACAATAAATATGTGATGGGAGTCTAGTCAGGACTTTTTGTCACCCTGTTAAGCCCGGTGGCTGACACAGATGCAAAAAATTGACGATTGTCCAACCAACGTAATCTAAATTTTTTATTAATATTACATGAAATTTGAATATTCATGTTCTAAAGACTTTAAGTGGACGATCGAGTTTATACCTTGTAAATAATAATATACTTACTGTTTATGTACTTAAGTGTAACATATTTTTTATTTATAACGTTAAAATTGAGGAACTTAACCCCCCTCCCCCTCTCCCTCGGTTTAAGTAAGAGTCTGACACCCACTCAAATGAGTCAGGTAATGATTTTCTCTCACAAAAAAACCGGGTAGACTATAGGTACAGTGGCCAAAAGGGTGAAACGCAATACATGGTAATTTTGTATGTCCATTTGTGTAATGCCGTACATTTTGTTGGCATTGTTGGGTTATATTTTGAAGAACTCTTCGGCAAAAAATATTCTTAGGTAATATATTTTTCGAAATCAGCTAGTAACACCCAAATAAAAGAAAACTGTAAAAATGTGAGTCTATGACAAATTACACTAAGGAGAGTTAGGAGGTACTCAGAAATTTTAAAACAAAAAAACGACAACAACCCTGATAAACCTCTTGTTCCTAATCAATACAAGGTAACAGTTGAAAACATGACATAAATTCGCTTCTCCACTATTGCAATAAATTGTAAACGGAACGCCAGAAAACTCGCTTATCAACACTTTTATGTAGACATCAAGAGCTCTTTACGTGGAACGACTAATACAAACTTACTACTATACAAAAAGGTAATTACGAACATTTCCGAAGAATACTTCAGAGAAAAAAAGAGACAATTTTATGTTAAAATCAATTCAACCGTTTCCATAATTAGACTTAAAAAGTTTGTATAAATATTGGTACCACGTATAAACGCTTCTTAAACGAAAAAGTATGTTACAAATTAAAAGAAGGGGATGATTAATAAATTTGAACTTATAATTATCATGCTCACAAAGTAATTTGAGGATAAATATCAATATTGCAAACCTGTATTTGTTGCTAGGGCCTTCGCCCAATTCACATTTCCTTTTCTTTTCGTTAGCTCCAGCTCCTGTGAACAAATTACCTAAATATGCGCCAAGCGAAGACAATTAGCTTACCTACCTAAACGCCTATAAACAAAATACAATCAGCTCTCAAATAATCGATGGATCAACCTATTCCTATCTAGAGCAGAATCGTACATTTGCTCGATAGAATATCAATTACCTACATCTTGGTAGATCCACCTTTGACACTAATCACATCTATGCTAGACACACACAAGTAAGGCCAAGAGCCTTTAACAAATTTTAATGTCGTTTAATGTAATAAGTAAGAGGTTTCACTAAAACCAAAGCCAATTTTGGACCATTTTTCTAAAATTTTTGTTATGAAAACCATAAAATTGGCAAAATTGGTGCAAGCGTTTTTGAGTTATGCGCTTACCAATCGATTTTACGATTCATTTTTGTGTACTTACATATTTATGTGGCGAGCTCGATATTCAAACAAATACTGGCTTACTTGCTTACGTAAGATAGGATCATATTGTACCATTTTACAAATTAACAACATTAGCAATATGTTGTAACTAAGTAGGCTAAAGTACAACGTGCGGTTGCTGACCGTACAATCTTTAATACTGCAGTGTCTTGTGATTGAACTCGTACTATGTACGCTGCGTAATATTAAGTGTTCAATCGAATTCCTATTTTTTATAACAAACCTACATGTTATGTAATATACAGAGCATAAATACGTTTATATGTATCGTATTTATTTTTACCAATATGTTTGATGTTCCATGTAATATAGGCTAACCTACTGTCATATTCTACTGGGACATATTTTTATGTCATTTCTACAGTACCTACCTACAAAAAAAAAATTAAAACCAGTATACAACTTTCTTTACAAAATTATTTCGCGTGTGCTCATAAAAACTAGTTTCATTTCGCCAAGCACTAAGAGTAGTTAAGTAAGTAAAGAGTATAAAGAATTTGTCCCACCCTAAGAAAGCCTACAAAGCTATTTATGATATTTACCCTCGGTGCCACCGACTGCTATTTTCACTGGAGGATAAGGCGAAGGTTGAGGTTGAGGTGGGGGCGGAGGCGGCGGTAGAGGCGGGGGTGGGGGTGGAGGTGGAAGTTGAAGAGCAGCCGCAGGTGCCGGTGTTGGTGCCGGTGCCGGCGGAGGCAGAGGCGGCGGTGGGGGCGGCGGCGGCGGACGCGATGCGTTAAAATACGGGAAACTGAAACCATACACACAAAAAGTTAATAAAAACAAACATTCACATAACATTGGTGCAAAGAAGAAGGCAGAGCGCGGGACGGAGCTATCCTCCTCTTCACGCACCAGCCGCCGCAGGAGTGACACTCCGGGCGTCGGAGATTGAGAGATGATCTCCGGCCATAGTAAGCGCGGGTCTTCGGACGGCGAGTAAGGCTAGCTCGCCGCCCAACCAGAACCAGACCCGAGCGCGCATTGCGTGTCACGCGCATCATGAACCAAATTAGATATCTAATCAAAGTGAGATTACATTTTTTAAAAGCATTCAAAAGAAAAAGAAAATAGTTTTACTAAGAAAGTACTAAAATAATAGATTTATTTTATAAAAATTATGATCAACACGCTCATTTATGTATACTTACTATGAATAATTCCACATGTATTGGTAATGAGGTGCTTGCATCCAGTGGTGAGGGGCATAGTTGCATAATTGCGCTGAAAAGGAAGAAAAATGCAGTGCTGTAAACATTACTGATGTTGTTGACATACGGCCTTATTACTTAAGTCTAGGTCTAAACCATTGAGCCAGGTTTTGTATTTCAAATTGAAGGTAGAAAACAATTTTTAACAAAAAAACCGACTTCAAAAAGGAAACTAAGAAGCACAAAATTTATTTTCTTTGTACAAAGTTATACAAGTTGTCATTTAGGTAAATAGAAAATACCTAAATGAAAAATATATTAATAACTATTTTTATAATCTTGAAGTTGGTGCCAAGTAAATGCTACATACCAAACAACAACAGTAGTAAGTATTAGAAACATGTATTGATCGGTACCTACTAATCATCATTGTTATACTTGGCACCTGGCATTAAGTTCAAACACAACATATTTACTCCAAATTGTCAAAGAGATCTCACGACGGTGTCCCGGCTCCATTATTTTATTTAGGTGCGAAGTTTTCATCGATATAAATAAATTAAGTCCAAACACAAGGTAGTTACTGTAAACCGTTCAGGAGTTAACTGAGCTGCCCTTCGTTCTCATCATCAGATCCTAATGACAATCGCTACCAGTCTTGGTGCAAACTGCTCAACGAATTATTCAAGCCCAATCACAAGGCACCAAAGTGCCAAGGCACAATAGATGACGAATCTGTCCGTCAAGTAAGCCTCGTCTACTCGACGGATATAGGCAGGCACCATGTGGTACCAGAAAGCCTCCAAAATGCAACTCCAGGGCAACGAGTTGAAGGGGTTGGCGATGTCCAGAGACACCGCCACGACGGCCCGCCCCCTGGCCAACGCAGTCCCCGTCGTAAGGTCCCTCACGTGCATGGTGGCGTCCACCGTGGAGCGCCCTCTGAGAAGCCAAACTGTTCATCCACTAGAACCGGCCCCCTTGACGATAGGTGCCCGACGAGGCGGTCCGATATTATTCTCTCGAACAGTTTTCCCACCTCGTCGAGCATCACATGAGCCGGTACGAGGACGGAGAGTCCACAGGGCGCCCCGGCTTCTTCACGAGGACCAGTTTACCCGTCTTCCACGACAGCGGAAACTGGCCCTCTCCAAGTATGCGCGGAAAATACCAATTAGTCGGGCCTTGAGAGCTTCCGAGGCCAGGACCCAAGCCTTGGCATGCAGCCCGTCAGGTCCTGGGGCGGTATTCTTAGCGCTCAGCCGGGGTTAAGTGCAACGAGGCACCGCGGCCTGATCCCAAAGCATGAGAAGAATCGGAAGGGGTTTTTAATTCAGTTAAAGTCTGACACAAACGCCCGACCCTGGGCAGGAGAAGTCAATTGATGATATTACCCTCACAAAATAAAAATTGCGAAACTATAAGGGTTCCTAGTTTAGGTACTACGGAACCCTTAACAACAGCACATTATTGAGCTGCCAGGCTGGGGCACAACATAATATGTGCTTACATCCACAAGGCCGACTACATATAGACATTATTCGGCTCATTACGTGTCACCTGCGTCAGGCGGAAGGTGAGGAAGCTTTAAAGCCGGTCTTATATCTGCGATAACAGCAAGCCCCACCCTGAGTTGAACATTCGTCGCCTCCTGTGATCCTATCCGTCGTATTTAAGAATAGCGTTGAACGTAGTTCATATTATAGAATAAGAACTATAAGAACCACCCTTCATTATAGTCAGCCCTTTAAAGATTACACCCATAGTTTTATACCAAACAGCCAAATACCGATTTCCGTAAATTTAATTTTAAAAGTGATCCAGTGATGACATATGATGCATATTTTTTCCTTTTCCTTTACCATTTTACCATCTGACCCCACCCCATAAAAAATCGATAATTCTAATAAACCTACATTTAATTGTTCTAAAAAACTGATCAATTATTAAAACGGAATGTTACAAAGTATATGGATGACAAGTTTTTTAGATACACAATAAATAAAACTAATACTCAGCGAGCCCAAGAAGGGATAGCGATAGTAACTTAAACTACTTGCAATATAATCTTACTTATTATACACAGTCAGGTTAATCAGATTAGGGGAAAGAGGTTGAAAACACATTAAATGAAGCGCATTCCAAAATCAATTTGTTTAAAATTCTCAACATCATTCTGCGTGGCCACTGGCACCATACAAATTGGAAGATTATGATTCTCTTTTATGCTCACTGGGCTTCTTAAACAAATCTCTATCCTTAGTAAAATTTTAAATAAATAATATTAAATCTTCTATTTTACACAGCTCTTCAATACAGATGATCAGATTGAAGAGCTATTTTTATATTTGTTACTATTGGCCTGCCCTATTTTACCCAGTTGCTTCATCCCAGTGTATATGATAGTATAATTCTCCTTTCTTAAAAACCTTGGCTAGCAGTAACCAAAAGAACAAATATGTATTGCAATTAATTATTCTAATTTGTGTACAGTTATTCAATAGTTATCATCTTTTTTCATTTAACTACTATAGAGACAAGAGACAATACTAGAGTCCGGATTACCTACATACAGTATGATTTAGCAGAATCAGTAACTAAGATAGGATCAAAACATACACATTACCATAATATGAGGAGCTAAACCCATTATTTCAATACAAATATTTGGCTAAGTAACAAAAAAAACAAACTAACAAAAAGTATTTATTCATGTCTAACATTATGGCATAATCACTGCTATTAAAAGTCTCAAGTCTCATGAAAATGGGTGAGCCTATAACTGGTGTAACTATCAGACTCCACAATCTTCAAAGAAATTTAAAAAAAGATGGGCATTTCAGTTTATTTGCCCAGCCCGGAAATTAAGTCCGAGACCCCTTGTTCAGCTCTCATTAATTAAACTTTGGTATTTCTCATTATTTATGTATTTCTTTTGAATGGATTTACTTTTGTAAATACATAAAAAGCTAAGGTTTAAAACATAAGACATCAGAATGTGTACTTACTCCAGTTGTTTGTGTAAGTTGGCTGTAATGCTAATGGAGCCTGCTGTGCTGGTGTCGGGCATGAATTTTTTACTGATGGTGGCGGTGGCGGTGGCGGTGTCGGAGGCGGAGGCGGAGGCGGTGGTGGTGGTGGTGGAGGTGGTGGTGGTGCTTTATGCTGTCTTGGGGATGGCTGCGATGGCGATTGGTAGTTTGAATCTTGAGCCATTGGTGGTTGTGACACAGTTGATGGCACAGGTGGTTGCCCTTGTAGATGAAGAATCGGCGGCCGTAGTAGAGGCCGTTTCGGCCTTGGGACTCCTTCCGGTCCTGGTGGCATTGGAGGGGCCATCCCGGTTTGGCCTGATCTGGCCCTGATCAAGTCATAGCTGTGCGTCTATCAGTCTCGAACTACGTCTGAAGGAGCATAACGGCTACAATTAATAACCGATTTTAATGTTCGATCTTATGAGTTATTTACTGCACTTTATTATCAACAACATTGCAAGGAGTTTTATGTTATGACTACTAACAGTTTTATGTAAATTAATTTGAATTGATTAGGTAGGTATGACTATTTTAATTTTTGTATAAACACGCCCGGTATGTCCGCACCCCGTCCGAACTTATTTCACTATCATTGTGTTGGTATAAATATTCCATAGTTTTATTGATTAACCGACAACACAACAGAATGTAATCAATCAATAACATAAGCGCACCAGTGTTGCCAATTTTGTAATAAATGTTTCCCTTAAACTTATGCCTTTTTTTGTGAGGGGAAAATCATCAAATGACTTCTCCCGCCCAGGGCCGGGCAGGAGGGAGTGTCAGACTCTTACTGACTAAAAACCCCACTGTTCCTTCGCCTAACATTTCCCTTGGGTTGTAAAAATAAAATTATTGAGTAAGTAATAAAATGTCAAAAATCCTTACCTACTGGCTCCATTGTTGAATAGATGTAATGTGTTTTTTTATGGAATAGGAGGCAAAAGAGCATCCGGATCACCTCATGGTAAGCGATCGGCGCCGCCCATGGACACCTGCAACACCAGAGGAGTCACAGGTGCGTTGCCGGCCTTTTAAGAAGGAGTACGCTCGTTTCTTGAAGATTTGATGGTCGTATCGTTTCGGGAATACCGCCGCCGGAAGATCATTCCAAAGTTTTGCTGTAAGGTTAAAAAAAGTTACCTACGGGTGAATCGCACAGTTGTGCGATTTTGTTGGATAACAAAATCGGTTCACAAATAACGGAGATATCGGCGAACAAACATAAAAAATCAACGACCAATTCAATTTGGAAGTCGGTTAAAAAAGGTTTCGCGTGGAACGATGGCAAACAATTCCTCAGAACACTCCCCGTGATAATGCGATAGAGAATACATAGCGAGGCTACATCACTATGCAGTGCCAAAGAGTCCAGCCGGTCCGAGACAACAGGGCAGTCAACAATTCGGACAGATCGTCGCTGAGTGCGGTCCAGAGGGAGAAGCTGGTACTGGGGTGCCCCCGCCCAAAGATGAGAACAGTAGGTATTCCATATGGGGCCGATTTGCGGCTTGTAAAGTAGCAGGCGACGCCCCAGGGTGAAACACTGCCTCGATCTATTGAGCACACCAAGCTTCTTCGAGGCTGACTTGGCCTTACCCTCTAGATAGATGACCGTGAAACTGGACTTCGCTCGATATGTCGATGCCAAGTATCCCAATACCCCAGCGGGAGGAAACGCCCGAGTGTCGTCATTGTGAGGACCACCTAGAGGATACGGTGGAGCATACGGTAGCGGTATGCCCTGCCTGGGCTGACCACCGCCGTATCCTCAGGGAAGGGATCGGCGGCGGCGAACTCTCGCGCCCGGCCTTAGTCGAGGCCATGGTGCGGAGTGAGAGGAACTGGGACGCCGTCTCCTCCTTTTGTGAAGCAGTCATGCTCACAAAGAGAGAGGCGGCCCGCGTGAGGGAGCAATCCTCCTCTTCACGCCCCAGCAGCCGCAACTGGCGACACAACGGGCGTCGGGGATCGAGGGACGATCTCCGGCCACCGTAAGCACGGGCCTGCGGTCGGCGAGTAAGGGCAGCTCGCCGCCCGACCAGAACCAGGCCCGAGCGTACGGCGCGTAGTGTTCCGCGTGCGCCTCAAAGAGCCATTCGACCACCACAGACGGGGCCCTAAAGGGCTGATGTGCAGCCGGGGTTGCGGGGTAAACGCAATGAGGTACCGCGACCTCAACACAGAGCAGGAGAAGGAAGGTTTTTAGTCAGTAGGAGTCTGACACTCCCTCCTGCCCGGATCTGGGCGGGAGAAGTCATTTGATGATTTTCCCCTCACAAAAAAAAAGTATAAAACGACACTACGACAATACTAGACGAGGCTGTGAGAGGGGTGCTCTGAAATTGAGGAGATACGACCAACGGCAGTTTTTTAGTTGTTCTTTTAATCACAAACAATTGTGGGGACCTTAACTTAATTTGGCTTAAAGACATATTTGTAGCCTGGATTATTACAAAATAAAAACTATTTAACAAGTTTTTTATTAATTATGAGTTGTCAGTTTGTCTGCAGCTGGAAGGCTGGCCATGAGGCAGGGAGAACTTTGCAATGAAACAAATTCGATCGAGTTCTGAAATCATGTAGCCCAAGTGGGCTTTGACTCGTTTACACCGACAGTGATTTTTTGCAAACTTTGTATCGGTAGGTTTGATTTTTTTCTGGTTCGTTTTTTTTTCTTGTGGAAGTTAATGCTTTTTATGATCTAGGCAATTAAAAGGAATAACCCCATCGAGTATAGGCTCGTTTTATACATCATAATTACAGAATGACGATGGAGCTGGCCAGTGGCCATAAAAATTCGGTATGTAACGTCATTCTAGCCCATTGGGTTTGGGCTCGTTTACCTCATATTCGTTATAAAGGAGCTCGTCCAAAATAATACCCTTTTTACCAAGAAGCCTGGAGCGGCCGTTAGACTACTTATTCGTAAAAGTTTGACTGGTAGAAAATGCCTACAGTATTCAGTTCATTTGTAGATTGATAAATGTAAAACATTCATAAACTACCACTTTGTTGGGTAAATCCTTAAGTTGGAAGCCCTGAAAAGTGAAACGCATAGACATACGTCTACCCTCTCACTTCTGTATGCTCTTGGCAAGACATAAGGCTACTCTTCAGTCACAGGTAGGTGCACCCACCCCCCGCAGACAAATCTGCGTATTGATTTGATGCTCGGTTCGGGGCGCGGCTCACGGTTAGGCGTGGCGCTCGTGGTTCGTCTTGAGATGGCACCGCCGTATCGCGCGCCGGACAAATAATTAAATAACAAAATGTGTATGTGTGCATGCACGCACGCGGCGTTCCCGGAGCGAATATTTTATGGTAACCACCGACACATGTGAATTTACTTCCACCATGAAGAATGTGGACATAGCTTGGCTAAGTAAGAAACCCACGTGGTTAGATATACCTATTAAGGTTGCGTTTGCTAGGCGTTTGCAGACGCTTTTAAACGACTTCAAAAACTACCAACTTTGTTGTGATGGAAAACTAAATAAAGTATGAAAACAAAAATCCTATGCGTGTGCGACTGTCAATCGGCGGCGCAAAGCATAGTAGTTATGCTAACCATCAAGTGATCGGAATACTTTTTTGCCACGCCATCCATAGCACAAAGAGTATTTATCCTGTTTAGCTTAGCTAAACTTTTAAGTGTGGGAGAGCCATGCTTCGGCACGAATGGGTCGGCTCGACCGGAGTGATACCACGGCCTCACAGGAAACCGGCGTGAAACGACCACAGCGTTGTGTTTGGCCGTGTGAGTGAGATTCCCGGAGGCCCAATCCTTCTCCTCCCCCAATCCCTAATCTCCAAATCCCTAACCCCTAAAAGGTCGGCAACGCACTCGTAACTCCTCTCTTGTTACGGGTTTCTATGAGCGGCGCTGATTGCTTACCACCAGGTAATCCGTCTGCTCGTTTGCTGACCTACAACATAATAAAAAGAAAAAGTTTCTGCTTGCAACTTCGTATTTTTTTCATAAAATAGTTCGTGTTCGTCCACTACAAGCTTCAGGTCAGGAATAGCAACTGAATGATCTGAATTTTCCATACTGATCTTTGCTTTCAATCACCTGTAGCATGTCACTGGAGTTTCACTCCACCCAGAAGAAGGGCAGTGTACATGGGCTAAGAGAAGAGATTAGAGAGGGGGGAGGGGAGAGACGAGAGGGATCTTTAATTGCGAAACTTCACAAAATATTAGGACTGGACTTATTACCTCATCACGGAAGAAAGAAGGTGGTCGCGCGTAATCACACCAGAAAGTTGTCATGTTAACATCACTTTTTTTATATTACTTTCTGAGACAATTTCTTTCCGAAAAGAGGCCTGCAATATTATAGTTCTAGATAGTGAGGAGGAATAAAAAATACAGTAGGGTTTACACAAAATATAAGTTTTTATTTAAATAAATATGTATTGATATCAAAACAGCCTTTAGTAACAGTTTTGAATAAACTGTATATGATCTAAATTGTAAACAATAAATAGTTATTTTAAAGGTATCAACATTATTTCCTCATGTGCCTTATAAAATAAAGCTTACCTCAACATCAGAAGAAACAAACCTGACTCTACGACTCTGCATACCTACATTTAAAAAGATTGGATGACAGGGAACATTACAAACTAAGCCAAATTAAAATAATATTTTCCAAATGTCAAAAAACTAGTTTTCAAATAATTTTGTACGAAATTGCGGATTGTGACGTCATAATTATTTTACATCAAAAACCATGTTTATTTCTCTTAAACTAGAAAAATACGAAAACTTAAGACTAAAATTAAATTAATTAATTAATTAATGGGAGCAACATTATTTGGGTTACTCTGTTACGATTAAAAATGGAAACATTTTATTCTTGATTCAGAAAACATATCATGTCATTTAAATATTAATTCTTCTAATATTATTTGTAGGTATTATAATATAAGAATGTGTGTGATATTTAACATATTTTTTGGGCCATGATGTGTCTAAATAACCTGATAGGCCGTGTATTGTAGTTTTCAGTATAACAGACTGAAGTCAGCAATTTTATTCGTTTTTGGAAAACCGTCTCGTTCTTAGTAACGCATATTTCATCAGACTATATTATTGTCATTACATGCTCATTATAAACCCAAAAGATAATATGATTTTAATTTTTTTTTCCATTTGTGGAATAATCATGACTTTTACCTAATAATAATTTAAAAAGTTTTTGTTTTTTTGTATATTAGAATAGTATATTTGAATGTAATACGAATTAAGAATGTCGTTTATTTTTATTAGTTTCCACGATTGAAGTAGATTATGTCAATTAAGAGAATTATATAATAAATTTTAAGCGTTAATTACTGATCAAAATATATTTTGCATTAGTAATTTCTATACAATTTTGGTACTATACATGAATGCTGTGCTTCAATTTGTTGAAATAACTACAAGATAATCTATACGGAAGTTAGTAAGACACTGTCAAGTCTATCGTTACTGTATCTCATAGATATTATAAGATAGAGGTGCATACAGATTAAAAAAAAAATATTATAAAATGTGTTTACGTAATGTGAACACTGATTTTAATGGAACATCCACCCGTATGTATATTTAGTCTTCTTTCACGCCGGAACCGATTTGTTCGAAATTTGGTATGTAGATAGGTTTGAATTAACACAGGCTGTAGGCGGTTTTTAATTTAATACAATATGACATTGTTACTAAATATTATTATGACTACATATTTTTTAAGACACCAAACTGGCAGCCAGATTATCTGAAGGTAAGCAATCAGCGTTGCCCGGACACCTACAAATAAGAAGAGTTAGAAGTGCCTTCTGGGGTATATAGATTGGGGTTTTGGCCATAGGGGGTGGTAGGATCTAAGGAAAAATAGAGACTTTTTATTTATTATCTCGCCCTGCGTGGGTTAAAGGGGGTGTCAGATTCTTGTTGTCCTCTAGTTTGTTTTCTGTGAGACCATCGCAAGTCCGGTCAAGTCGACCCATAGGTGCACAGTATTGTTATAAAATTAAAGAGCAATTATTGAATCTGTGGACGTACGAAAGAAAAATGTATACAAAATATTCGTTGTTAATCTGTACGCACCTTTATTCTTATAGTATAACTATGGATGTTTGTTTTTCCACGAGCAATGTGCCAATCTATAGGTACATAGCTTACAAAACTATTCGTTCTTCATATCGCATAATCTAGATACTAGGGGGAAACGAACGATGCGCAGCTGATTCGCGTAGTCGCAGACTATTGCGTCTTTCAACGGTAGTATCTGCCTCACGAAGATACAACCGTCACTTTGGCCTGAAATAAAATATAATGTATTTAATAATTACACATCAAATGTTCTTTTAAATTACACAGTTCTCCAACTTAAACGTACGTAACGTAAACTTCGAACAATGGTCTTGCTGCGAATAATAGTTTTCAAAGTATCTTGCATAGTTTATTCGCACGCTGAATCGGGAATTTTAATTCGGGAATTTTATCCGTAAGTAAACATAAATTCCTGAATTATTATGAAACAAAATAATATAGTAATATGACTCAAAATGCGTACAAGTTCCTTTTTTTGCGTACACGACGCTGACCACTGTTACGGGCTAAAGTATGCCATTAAAAATAAAAGATAAAACCTTTATTGAGATTATTTTAAAAATTAGGTCTGTAAAATTGTTAATATCGTGGTAAGTAGTACATGGACCTGGTAAGGGCATTACAAATATTTTTCTTAAATAAGTTTAAAATTAGAATAAAATATATAATTAGTAATAGTACCTAGAAGTACTCGTCGTATAACGTCACCACTGCTGAGATCGTACGCGGTCAGTCCACTGCGATCTCCCATCACCAACATTGTGTGCGTTAGCGGCAACATACGACTCATGTAGTTGAGACCCTGAAAACATAGAACATTTGTTTTTTAAGCAACACTTCTAATTTTAATAATTAAAGTAGCTTTATAGCAGTCTAGGCATCATGTGCTCCTTGTCAAACGGTTATGCGAGAAAATTTAAAAAGTCTCACTAAATTCGTAACGGGAAAATAAGATGCAAGTATTACTTCTTCTATAAATTATATATTATTGTCTATTTGCGAAGTAATAAAACTAATGGTCCACGACACCCAGACATTTTAAAACTGCAGTAGTGTTTTAATATCTATACATATATTATAAAGAGGTAAAATTTGTAAGTATGTATTGTAGGTGGTCTATGGAACCGCTGGTCGAATTGCCAAAATTATTTTACTGATAGATAGCTACAATGTTCCTGCGTGCTATAGGCTATAAAACACCACGCTACGATTAAATGGAGCAGCGGGCGAAACCGCGCGAGAGTAGCTACTTACTTGTAGAAACATAACTTTAAAAATTGGTGATCCGTTTACTGTCCATTTTGCTTACTTTTTTTTTTAAATAAGTTTTTCTTCTTTGCTAAAACTTATGCTGCAGCTTGACCAGCAATGCAGACTAAGAACAATAATATAACAATTTATACTTACTATGTGTATGGAGTTCAGCATATGTCCCTGGAATCTGTCCCAGATACATAGGCGTTCGTCTGCGCCCGCTGATACCACGTAGGAGGCGGTGTATGCCAATGACGTCACCGCGCCGTCGTGAGCTTGCATACTGTATAGGCAGGCACCTAAAACATATTATTACATATAAAGTTAGAGGGAGTACAAAGAGATAACATTCTATATACATTTTGAAAGACTGTCTATTAATAGATTATTTGTTTATATATCGATGTTAACAATCGATGAGCACAAGGAAATTGATAAATGAATTTCTCGTTTCATGGCACTTGTTACCCCAAAGGAAGATATACATAACGATATATAAATATGTACAGGGGACAAACGATTTCCAAACAATTCAGGGTTTTCGGGGACAATAGATCAATCTAGCATAATATATTAAGAAAAACACCCGACAAAGGTCGGTCGTTCAAATACCGTAATATAAAATTAGTTATAGTTTAGTATTTTTGTACATACCAGTATGAAGATCCCAGACGCACAGTAAACCATCTTGCGAGCCGCTCCCTGCGATAGTAGGGGTAGCGTGGTCTATGAAACAGCTGGTGATTGGCCCACAATGACCGTGTAACGTGAACAGGGGATTCAAGTCCGCACTGGAGAATACCTACGGAATATCACCACACCATATAATATAATTAACCACCACATAATAATTGTTAACTTCAACATGAAAGAAAATAAATCTCCAAAGAAAAAGAAGTGCACCGCGTCATCTACCATTCAGTTGATTCAGCCCGGAGCAGCAGAAGAAACGGGACTGTATTTAGTCAGTAACAGTCTAACAATCCCTTCCGCGCCAAGTCTATCTAAGATTTGCCTTCCCCCAAAGAGAAATAAAAACCATCTACTATTGACAGCTGGGCTGTTGAGAGGAATCTTTATCTTCTGCAAAAGATCCATTATCTCATTCGATGCAGGCCAGAAACCACAGTATATAAGAAAAAAAACAGCATTTTTTTTAAACTGCGTTGCTCTGTGCACGAATCGAATTCGGGTAATGTCACGGCTACTGCACTAACCATGTAGACCATTAATAAGACATTATGAGCCTTTGAGCATTTTAAGGAGCCAAGGAAGGCAATCGTCAATACACACGTGTATCATATGACATTTTCAATACAGTTCCGAATAACATAATTCTTAAATAAATAACTTCAAAAGAGAAAACGTGACGAGTAGTGAAAAATGTTTTAGAATGGCGGGAAAAACTAATCAGTTTTCCTGTGCACGCGCAATACGCGCATCAGCCATAGACTAAAAACGATGTTTCGTTTTTTTTGAGCTTTTTGCGCATAGCATTTTAGCGCAAGTGTGAGACTAACACCCGGTTTCTGAAAGGCTTGTCAACGCTAAAATCAACTAATCTCCTGTTAAATCTCTTGTCAAGTCATCTGATTGGTTGTTGATAATTCAGTCAACCAATCAGATGACTTGACAAGAGATTAAATTGATTTTAACATTGATCGGCCTTTCGGAAACCGGGGGTAAGTCAAGCAATAATTTAAAAAAGAACTCTGTTACTCACTTGTGAATAATAGTAATGAAAAAGTCACAGTTTGATAATAGGTGTCATTATATGTATATGCCTAATTGCCGTGGGATAAGTGCCACTAAGTGTATTAAAAATTAATTATTTTGCTATTTACTACCATACCTTGAGTACATGGTCTTGTCCGCCAGTGACGATGCGTCCTCCCTCGCAATGCATCTCCGTGATTGGCTGCTGATGCGGCCGACACTGAGCTATCCGTACACACACCACCTCTGTAAAGTTTCATATATTTTTAATTAAACTGTTCTATGAATTTAATTGGGAAAACATAAATGTGACGTCATCATATTTTTAAGTCAAACAGCATACTTTTTTCTTAAAATGTAACTAATAAAAATCTAAAATTAAATATATTATATACCGTTAAATTCACCAATGAAGTACGATTATTCGGAATTTCAGACACAGTTGCGGGTTAAGCGCAATAATGTATCGTGGTCTCAGCCTGGAGCACGAGAAGGACTGAGGTGGTTTTTAATCAGTTAGAGTTTGACACTCGCCCTCAGAGAAGCCATTTGATTATTTTACACCTCAAAAAATGGGGTTAGGATTTGGGGATGTGCGTTAGGGAGGATAAGGCCCTGCATTCTAGCATAAATGTTGTCAGGCGAAAATCATCAAATGACTTCTCCCGCCCAGGGATAGGCGAGAGAGAGTGTCAGACACTTACTGACTAAAATAACCCCGTTCTTTCTCCTGCTCTGGTTTAAGAAATAACCTGTATTCCAACTCCGCGATAAGACACTATCAGATTAGTTTGGAAGCGTTTTGTTAGCAACTAAAATACATACAGACATACTCAAAAACTTTCAAAGGTACACTTTTGGAGGTAGGTGTGGAATGATACCACGGCCTCACAGAAAACCGGCGTGACACAACCACAGCGTTGTGTTTCGCCGTGTGAGTGAGGTTATCAGCCCTTTTCTTCCCCTCCCCCAATCTCTAAATATCTAAAACTCTAATCTCCAGAAGGTCGACCATGTATGTCCTCCGTTGTTGCGGGTGTCTATGGGCAGCGCTGATTGCTTACCATCCGGTCTTCCGCCAGCACCTTAGCCATCTGCCACATAAAAAAAATATTGGTAGGATAATATTACCTTCTCCGTCGCTAAGATCTGACTCGTAGGAGAAGCTCATCCTTGACCGTGTGGACTCGCCATCGGGCGCATATCCCACTCTGAGAGAACCAGCGGATCCCGTGCGTTTGTGCGCTAAACATATTAAAAGTATTATTAATAAACATATTAATTGTATATGTATAGTCTTTATATTTGCCGTTTAGGAAGACATGTTTAATGGTTCAAAGGACATGTTAAAATTATGTTGTATTGAGCTATATGCATGCTTAAGAGATGTATTTGAATAGATCACATAATCTATATAGCTATAGTGAAGATGATTTTTGTTTATAATGTATTGAGAATTTCCAGGCTTAACTACATACTTTGGCATCATTGTTGGCAATGGGTTGTTTCTAAGCGTGACTGCCGAATAAGAGGACACTGATAGATAGCGTGTTGAGTTTTTAAAATTCTCAAATAGGTGAACGGTAACAATAACGTAACTGCCTAACTGTATATAACTGAGCGACACCTTAATATCAATTCTAAGTTACTTCCTCATTGAACTCCTCCTAAACGGCTTGACCATTTTAAATGAATTTTTATGTATGCGTTTGAATGGCGCCCTGGATGGTTTTAATTCACAGATCAGCCCGGCAGATAGCGCTGATTGCTTGAAAAAGCATGTGATCTCGGGAACGGCCCTAACGATTTCGCCGAAATTTGATATGTAGGGGTTTTCGGGGAGGGTCCGCTAGTATTGTAAAATATAATACTGACTTCGTCGATGTGCCGTGCTGAACTGCCAGTCGACGTGTGCGCCGGAGGCGGCGTTGTACGCGTCGAGGCGCAGTAGTGTGAGGTGTCCGGCGAGCGACGCCACGCAGACGCGCCGCGCCCCCGCTAGCGCGCGGACGTGCGTCGCGCCTGCTGAATTACATCCGCCCCGCGCTTCCGCGCTCCACCATACGCACTAAGATACATATTTATATATTTAATTCATTTGCTTTCAAAATTATGAAAAAATAAAATTAGTCGTGAGTATCAAACTGAAAAAAGATGCGATATTTCTTACTTTAAATAAAAAAAGAAGTTGCACCACATTAGAAGTTTCTTCTATGTTATGAGTGCGTTTGCAATATACATTTCACGTACATGTGACGAATTTTTACTAAAAAGTCCCTCGACCGTGCAGTCTATAACGATTTCTTTATAATATAACAATTCAATCAAAATTCGATAAAGAGTTGCTTAACACAAAACCTAATAATGGCTGTACTAAATAAGATAATTTTTATTTGATATCTTAGTGATAGTATTGTGACGGAAAAGTCGTTCAAACTCTTTGACATCATGACGTCAATGGATGGTTGTCAAACGTTGCCTAGAGATTGTAAATTTCGTCGTGAATTGTCAACACGAGTTGGTGTAATCGGTAAGGCGTGTGGATTACACCACAGAGACCCCGAGTTCGAGTCCCGCCGTAAACATGAAGTTTTTTAGTTGATAGAAGTTTTGTGGAACTTTCTGGAATTATTTGTGTGAAAGAAATGAAAAATTAAAGAGCGAGAAGGAGAATAAATAAAAATGAGTAACGAAATTATTGGAAGGTTCTGGAGTCATGACGATCAAAAAGAATAACGAAATTGAATGTTCCAGAACCTGAACCAGGGGTATATAAGCGGAACTGCGGCTCACCGCTGGCAGTTGAGTTCTAAGTGTAAAGCGATTCGGAAGAAAAGGAAGAAGTGAAAAAGAAGAAAAGTGAGTGAAATAGTGAAGTGCAGTGAAATAGTGAAGTGCAGTCAGTTAAGTGAGTTAAGTCAGCGTGAACGGCAAAGTTGTGTCAGTCGGCCGGACTCTGCTGGAGAGGAACGCCGATAACTTAACTCCGTGGACGCTGTAACTTAAGTGCAATAGAAAGTCTGAAAACGGTATTAGTGTTTCATTTCATCCAATCCCGTAACTCAAGCCCGAATAGTCAGGAACGTGACGTCAGGCACGTAACATTTGGTGTCAGAAGTGGGATTGGAGAAAAATGCCGCTAGTGCCGCAGGACGTAAGAGGAGTGAGTACCCGTTCAATGTCAGAAGCGCAGCGTGTGAGGGAAGAGGGTGCTGCAGCTCGAACCAGCGATGCAGAAGCCAAGCCTGTGCAGGTGGATCTTCTGCTACAGCTGCAGCAAATGATGGCAGAGCAAGCGCGCCGCCAAGAAGAGCAAGCGCGCCGCCAAGAAGAGCAAGCGCGCCGCCAAGAAGAGCAAGCGCGCCGTCAGGCAGAACAGCTGCGGGAGCTTAAAGAAGAGCAAGCGCGCCGCCAAGAAGAGCAAGCGCGCCGCCAAGAAGAGCAAGCACGCTGTCAGGCAGAACAGCTTCGGGAGCTGAAAGAAGATCAAGCTCGTCGCCAAGAGGATCAAGCTCGCCGCCAAGAGGAGCAAGCGCGTCGCTTGGAAGAGATGCATAAGGATTTTACGAAGGGACTGCAAAAGGCTGTCGAACGGGTACAAGAAGTGGAGGAAGGGTTAGGCAAGTTGGAACATCGCGTCATGGCGATAGAGGAGAGAGTGGAAGAAGAGATCTCCAAAATCAAGCAGGAAGTGGCAAGCGCAAGCCCTTTGAAGAGCCGAAGCCGTCTTGCAGCCGTTTTTGACACCCCAAATGTGGCCTCTAGCGCAACGAAAGGCCTCAAGATTCCCCATTACGACGGAACAACATCCTGGACCGCGTTCAAGCTACAGTTTGAGACACTTATGGAGGCTTATGGTTGGACTCAGAAGGAAGCACAGTCAGCCCTCACCCTGGCCCTCCGTGATCAAGCGCTCTCAGTGCTGGAAGCTATCGGCGCAAGTGGGGATCTCAGCTTTAGTGCCCTCCTCGACGCACTGGAGGCACGTTTTGGAGACAGCCACCTCGAGCACGTGTACAGAGCGCAATTAAAAGAGCGTACTCAGCGTGCTAATGAGAGTCTACAGCAATGGTCCGTGGAAATCGAGAAACTTGTGCGTCGAGCTTTCCGGTCGACTCCGTCAATGATTGAAGGCACGCTTCTCCAAGCATTCATTGACGGTGTTCGGGACCCCGAAGTACGAGCTGCTGTTCATCTGGGCCATCACAAGAACATGAAAGAAGCTCTGGCCCATGCATTGGAAGTGGAAGCCGTGCGTGGTAACTCCCGTACCTTACGTCTGCGGGAAATGACGACAACGGAGCAGGTACCTCCACGCCGTCGGAACTTCATGTGCTATGGATGCGGAGAGCGTGGGCACATGCGGAGCGACTGCCCGAAGAAGGCGAACCGCCAGGACGCGGCGGTCTCAACTTCTGACCAGCAGGAAAACTAAATCCAGCCAGGGCTGCGGGGTGGGCGCTGGCCGGTAGTGGAATAACCCCAACAATCTACATCAAGCAAACTAACGATGGAAATACTCTGGTGATAGACGGTCAAGTAAATGGGAAAAAAAGTCAGCTAACGTTAGATACTGGAGCTTCAAGGACGGTGATGAATGTTCGGCTGCTCGGGCAAAACATCAGGAAACACCTTAAACCAATTGTTGGCCTACGAATGAAATCAGCTACCGGCCAGTGCATACCGATAAGTGGAAAACTGCATGTAACAATCAAAATTGGGGAACGTGTTTATCGACATGAGGTTATTGTGGCCAAAATTCTGGATGACTGCATCCTGGGACTTGACTTCCTGCAAGGGCACCAGTGTAACATCGACTTAAAATCTGGAGTTTTAATATGTGGAACTGAGGAAATTCCGATGAAGGGTGGAACCCTGGGAAAAGTTTGCTGTTTAAGAAGAACTGTTCTTGCACCAAAATCACAGACTCTGGTACCAATTGCATTACCTAGGAGGAGGGAAGGAAGTTTGCCTCGAAGGTGCGCTGTGATTGATAAATCGGAACACGTAAACTCATGGCTACCGGCAAGAACTGTCGTGGGGTCATCTGATGTCAACCGCATTCCGGTATTCAACTTCAGTGATTCAAAAATTACGATTGAAGAAGGAGAGCCTGTGGGCGTATTGGAAGAAGTGGCCTGGATAAGAAAATGCTCGGAAAATCTTGTGAAGAAGGACAGTACGGGAATAGACTTTGTAACGAAAATCTTAGACGAAAACAAAAGTCTGACAAAAGTGGAGACTATGAAAGCTAGAAATTTACTTCTTCGATTCTCTGATGTGTTTTCAAGAAGCGATGGTGATATTGGCCGAACTGGTTTGGTGAAGCATAAAATAAACACAGGTGATACAATGCCAATTCGTCAAAGGCCCAGACGCATACCATTCGCTCGTGAGAAAGAGGTTGAAGAAATGATTGACGATATGAGGAAAAATGACGTGATAGAGCCCTCTTCTAGCCCTTGGTGTTCACCTGTCGTGCTTGTCAAGAAGAAAGATGGTTCAACGAGGTTTTGCGTAGACTATCGACGATTGAATGATGTAACCAAGAAGGATAGCTACCCGTTACCAAGAATCGATGACACACTTGACACACTGAGTGGCATGAAATGGTTTTCAACGCTCGATCTGAAAAGCGGCTATTGGCAGGTGGATTTGGATCCCAAGGACAAGGAAAAGACCGCATTCTCAACTGGGAAGGGACTCTGGCAATTTAAGGTGATGCCATTTGGATTATGCAATGCACCGGCAACCTTTGAGCGTTTGATGGAACAGGTGCTGGCGGGACTGCTGGGCGAAACCTGCCTAGTTTACCTCGATGACATCATCATTGTTGGACGGGATTTTGACGATCATCTAAGAAAATTGGAAAGGGTACTCGAAAAGCTGCGTGGAGCAAATTTGAAGTTGAGTCCAAAGAAATGCTCTTTCTTTAAGCGCGAAGTGAATTATCTAGGACATGTTATTTCTGAGAGAGGAATTGAGACTGATCCAGCCAAGACTGCCGCTGTTAAGGAATGGCCAACACCTACAGACAAAACGCAAGTTCGGGCATTTCTTGGATTATGCTCGTATTATCGGCGGTTTGTGAAAGGATTCTCGGACATTGCCAAGCCATTGCATCGATTGACAGAGGAGAAACGTGCCTTTATATGGGACGAGGATTGTGAGCAAGCCTTTCGCGAACTAAAAGAACGGCTTTGTAAAACGCCAATTCTCGGATACCCCAGCGCGAAAGGAATATTCGTAGTTGATACGGATGCCAGTAATATCGGAATAGGAGGTGTCCTTTCACAACGCGATGGTGAGCAGGAGAAGGTTATTGCTTACTTCAGCAAGTCACTATCCAAGCCGGAGAGGAATTATTGCGTGACCAGGAGGGAATTGCTGGCCGTAGTCAAAACTCTGCACCATTTCAAGAAGTATTTACTGGGACGGAAATTTTTGATCAGAACTGATCACGCTGCTTTGAAATGGCTGCTTCAGTTTAAGGATCCCGAAGGCCAAGTAGCCAGATGGTTGGAACAACTTCAGGAATTTGACTTTGAAATCGAACATCGCGGCGGAAGAATTCATGGCAACGCAGATGCATTATCGAGACGCCCATGCGTGGAAGATTGCAAGCATTGTGCTAAGAAGGAAATTGCTTTTCTTAAGGTGATAAGGACTGATACTGTTGACGAGGCATGGGGAGATGATGCGATGAAATTAGAACAGGAAAGAGATGCGGATATCAAACCAATACTGGAGTGGCTACGAAGTGGTAACAAGCCAAGTTGGAGTGACGTCGCCCAATATAGCGCGGTAACGAAAGGTTTATGGGCACAGTGGAAAAGCCTTACGCTGCATAACGGACTTCTGTGCAGGAAATGGGAATCAACAAACGGCAAGGACGAGCATTTGCAATTGGTGGTGCCTCGTTCAAAAATAAGAGATGTATTAAAAGCGTTCCATGATGGATCTTCTGGAGGACATTTGGGAATTAGGAGGACTTTGGTGAAGATCAAGGAGAGGTTTTATTGGTTGCATTGCAAATATGACGTCGAAGATTGGTGCCGGAAATGCACTAGTTGTGCAGCTGTCAAGGGTCCACAAACAAGAAGCAGGGGGGCGATGAAAATCTACAATGTTGGTATGCCTTGGGAGAGAATAGCCTTAGACATCGCTGGACCATTTCCAATCACTGATTCGGGCAATCGCTACGTTTTAGTGGTTATGGATTATTTTACAAAATGGCCGGAGGTCTTTGCCATACCGAATCAAGAGGCAGTAACTGTAGCCACGGAGTTGGTAAACGAGGTATTCACCCGATTCGGAGTGCCCTTGGAGATGCACAGTGATCAAGGACGGAACTTTGAATCCCAAGTTTTTCAGGAAACTTGTAAACTTTTGGGAATCCATAAGACTCGAACGACCCCTTATCATCCACAGTCAGATGGAATGGTCGAACGTTTCAACCAAACATTGGAGCGACACTTAGCAAAGGTGGTTGACAGCCATCAGAGAGATTGGGACACTTACATACCTCTCTTCTTGCTTGCCTATCGGACTGCTGTACATGAAAGTACCGCAAAGACGCCTGCATTTGCAAATTTTGGAAGGGAATTGAGATTACCGGCAGATCTTGTATCGGGCTGTCCACCTGGCGACACTCGCACCGAGTTTAGCGATTACATAAGCGAGTTAAGGGCAAAAATGTTGGACATTTACGAGCAGATCAGGGAGGCCGGTCTTCAAGCTAGTGATCGCGCAAAAACGCGCTATGATCGACGAGCCAATTCTGTTGGTTTTGAAGAGGGGTCATTGGTCTGGCTTCATAATCCAGTCAGAAGGAAGGGAAAATCTCCGAAGCTGCAACCGAGTTGGGAAGGCCCTTATGAGATAGTCACGAAGATCAATGACATTACTTACAGAATTCGGAAGTCTTCAAGGAGCCCTTTGAAAGTTGTCCATATAGACAGGTTGGCGAGGTATTACGGCAGCAACGATGCTCGGGACGAGCGAATCTAAGAGGGGGGCAGTGTGACGGAAAAGTCGTTCAAACTCTTTGACATCATGACGTCAATGGATGGTTGTCAAACGTTGCCTAGAGATTGTAAATTTCGTCGTGAATTGTCAACACGAGTTGGTGTAATCGGTAAGGCGTGTGGATTACACCACAGAGACCCCGAGTTCGAGTCCCGCCGTAAACATGAAGTTTTTTAGTTGATAGAAGTTTTGTGGAACTTTCTGGAATTATTTGTGTGAAAGAAATGAAAAATTAAAGAGCGAGAAGGAGAATAAATAAAAATGAGTAACGAAATTATTGGAAGGTTCTGGAGTCATGACGATCAAAAAGAATAACGAAATTGAATGTTCCAGAACCTGAACCAGGGGTATATAAGCGGAACTGCGGCTCACCGCTGGCAGTTGAGTTCTAAGTGTAAAGCGATTCGGAAGAAAAGGAAGAAGTGAAAAAGAAGAAAAGTGAGTGAAATAGTGAAGTGCAGTGAAATAGTGAAGTGCAGTCAGTTAAGTGAGTTAAGTCAGCGTGAACGGCAAAGTTGTGTCAGTCGGCCGGACTCTGCTGGAGAGGAACGCCGATAACTTAACTCCGTGGACGCTGTAACTTAAGTGCAATAGAAAGTCTGAAAACGGTATTAGTGTTTCATTTCATCCAATCCCGTAACTCAAGCCCGAATAGTCAGGAACGTGACGTCAGGCACGTAACAGTATGGAGGTTCCATCAAGGAAAATCATTGGAAACTTTAGTTAATAGCAACTGTAACAGCTTCTCTTCTGGCTTCCTCGGATGCTACTCGTTGTTATCAAACGTCAAATAAAAAATATGTTATACATGGTGTAACAACATTAACGCCAGAGAGCTATAGAACTGAATATCTTTAAAACATCGTATAAAATGTATTTATTATTGCTTTCTATTTTCACTCGAATTACTACAAGTCGTCCAATTAAATTCTTGATAAGACTTGCATGTATACTTTTACACCTCGTATTTAACCAAAAATAAGGAAACAAAATACAGTAAACATTACCATAAGCTTGCCAGAGCTGGCCTCCCAGAACTCGAGCCGGCCGTCCGCACAGCCCAGTATAATTAGGTCGTTACAAAAGTCCATACACCACACAGGAGATTCTTTGATCGCCTTCCCTCTCCAATCCAGATTACTGACCACATCCTCACTATTATCGTCCTCCGCTGTGGGCCCACTATCACTTAATGTCGATTTATAATTAGACTTACTACGTAAACTATTTACAGATTGTCCACTTGAATCAAACACGAATATATTGTCATCACTATTATCACGACTCTTAACACTATTGTTCATTATATCTTGATTACTTATATTTAAATTACTAGTATCCACATTCTCTTTAGCCTCGTAACAATTATATAAATCTTCCTGTTGGTCACCGCAGTATAAGTTTCTGTAATGAAAAAAGTATAAGTAGATATAATAATTATTTATATTTATTATTCTTATTCTTACAAACGCTTGAAGGAAATTAGTTAGTTTTGGGTGTAAAGTGGTCACTTGTGGGTTGCTGCATTACTGTGTTTCAATAGATAACAATAAACTCGTAACACAAGTGATACACAAAATATTGAGTTACTTTTAAATTCTATATTTAAAAATCTCAGGCTAAGTAAGATTAGAAGGAAGATGAGGCAAATCACCAAAGGACTTTCGCCATACAGGGCGAGGCGAGAGTGATTGTCAAAATATCTGCCTCCATGTCTATGTATTTATTAAAGTTATTGCACAAACATTCATGTACAAGGTGGACTTAATGCCAGAGGCATTCTCTGTTAGTCGAATCTTTGGTAGAGAGGAGTTAATGGCGGCAAGAAGCAAGCAAAATCGAGAAATAACAGATAATATATGTTTTATACACTACACAATACTAATAAAAATGAATAAAATCATATATATAATGTTCGGCACAAAAGGTTACGCACCTATAATTTTTCGCGAAATCATATTTTGTGGTCTCAGCGGTGGAGAGATGGTGCGGCGAGTCCCGGGGCCCCACCGGCCTAAATCGCAGGCCACTCAAGTAGCTGCTCAACCCTTTACGTAGCCTATGTACATTCTGTCGAAAATCAAGAAATCTTTATTAGTCATTTAAATTAAATAAATAAAAATAATAGCACCAGAACAAAGCAAGACAAAATTGGCAAAATGATGTATTTCATAAGGGTTCAATGGAATTTATTGATTACTACTTACTTCTGTGCTTCTAGGAGACAGTTCCGGGTTGTGATTTACTAAAAAAACAGACAATACATATGATTAGCTTATAAATACCGTATTGCTTAGATACATTTTATGGTTATACTCGTAAACTTATAAGTATTTTTTACGGAACAAAACCAATTGCTAATGAATAGTTTAACCCGTGGTATCCGGCCGGAGCGCGGATCTACGTCAGACACAATAGACCAATCAATCGATAGGAAGCGATACGATTGAGTCAGGTTTTGTATTTTGAATCTTATTCTCACGTACTTTCAGTTTGAAATACAATAACTGTCTCAATGGTTTAGACCTAGACTAAAAAAACCTGGTTTTTTAATAAGAGGGAATGTGTTTTCTATTGTGTCTTATACAGAAACAGACGAAAGGTTAAGTAACAATTAAATATTTCTATATACCGAAACTAAAACCTTAATTACATGATTAACGTCCTTATGTAGAGACAATAGGGTCGTTACCTTTAACTGCTTCATATGCCATGTTATGTTTCTTCGATACTTTTTCATAAAGGTCCTTCTGCAGTTTGAAGAAACTGAAATACAAATGTCCCTTTTAATTACATTCAAGCATTTTTTTGCAATTGTGTTTATAATACAATAGTGACTAGCGTATTGTTATTTGCTGCCTATCTACATCTATCTACGGGTCCTATTGCCGCACAGAACTCTTTGATTGATTCGAGTCTGTTTGAGATATTATGTATGCGAAATTGTATGTTTGTAAAATAGACAGGACACGTTAGAAACAAACTAGTGTGGGGCAAAGATTGAAAAAAGCGATACCATAATCGATATCTCTAAATACATATTAAAATCAATGCCACTTTTCGTTGTAATGTTTTAACTCAACAATGCCTATAACGCGTTGGCTAATTTTGGTGTGGAAATATTCGTGGAAGTCTAGAAAAGGTTCGTAAGTAGAGAAAATTAATAAAAAACTTGAAAACGTGCAATATCGACATCCTTGCGGGCGGAGCCGCGGGCGCCCGCTAGTATCTGATAATTGTACAATCTGACCATGACATTACAATGCACACGAACTTCATAAGCAAAACCTTATCAAAAGCGAGAATGTCATCAAAATTAGTATAGCCGTTTTTGAGACGAGTAATATAAAAATACACACGTATTACTCATTTATATGTATTTATGAGATAAGATTTATAGGTGGATAAGATAGGTGGTAGATTATAAATTAATTACTAAGAAACACGATGACTCAAGGTGTATAACTGGCTATCATTTAGGTCTTTAAATTACCTAACAACATCTTGATTTCTTTGTAAAAATATTTTTGAACTTTTTGTTGAATAGCGGCTACTGTTTTGCAATTATTTGCAGTTAACATTGTGATTTCAATTCTAAAAATTATTTTATTGTGTGATAGTACCGGTGTCCACTACCTATGTCCAAAACCGAGCACACCTAACGGTGAATCAGTTTGCCCTTCTACTAATTTGGGCATAACACAAAGTTTTTATGGTATAGGACATTCTTCTAGCTCATTATCACCAAGTTATCGGACGCAATACGAAAATAAGGATCAACGTGAAAAGAGAGGTGATCCTTCATGATTACCGCTGATTTAAGAACCGATCGCCTCAAATGCCTTAAAACAACAAACTCTGGGCTCACAGTAAGCACATTTGTATTTACATTTTTGTATTTTGCGTTCCTGCATTATTTACATAAATTATAAATAAACTAACTACTCTCGCGCGATTTCACCCACTGCTTGGCTTCATTTGATCGTAGCATGAAGTTTTATAGTTTATATCACATAAGGACATTGTAGCTTTCTATTAGTTAAAGAATTTGGGAAATCCGGCTAGCGGTTCTAGATACACTCAACACAAAAAAATTAAAAAGATACCCCTTCGTCTTTATAATAATAATAGTATAGATAATTAAGATAGTACTCACGCGCCGCGGTCAATGTTGGTGAGAATCTCCCCATTCTGAGAGTCCCACACCTTGATGTTTCCTTGCAGACAGGAGCTGACGACTTTCTCGCCGTCGGTCACTAAGCACTCCACCTCCTGACTGTGGCCAGCTACTACAAGGGGTACTGCTTCCATCACCAACTAAAATCGGAAACAATTTTCATGTTACAACTGCAGATCAGATCGACGAGTAATCGTATAGCGTACCTATCTAGTGTGAGTTTTCTTGAGTAACCGCGTTTAGTCTGCAGCTCTGATTCGTTGGCTAACTTAAAGCCGGCCAATTAGAGCGCCTGACGTAATAAATGTGTCATCACCTTAAACTAACTTGACTGCACGGTTGCCGCTCAATGAGTCGCGGGTTCGATTCCCGCACGGAACAACTCTTTGTGTATTCTACAAATTGTTGTTCCGGGTCTGGATGTCATGTGCATGTGAAATTTTATGTTTGTAAAAGCACCTATATACTACTATAGACAAAAAAAACTAAATCAAACTCACGTTCGACCTTGCAGTGAACAAGTGATCAATGCCGCCCATAAGCAGTATTATCAACAAAATAGTTACAAGTGCTACGAGTAATGAATGACCTAAGATAGGGTTAAGATTTTGGTTTTAAAATAACATGGTCTCTTAATATTCCTAAGCTAAGAAAAGCAATGCAGCAAGCGCCCTTCGGTAAGTGATTCCATTTAATATCCTCTATATCTGTTTATCTCTTGATATTCATATTTGTTCAGTTACCTGTACTGCAGGTTGTTTCGCCACAATCTTTCGGTACTCATCGTCATCACTCCACGAAGCTCGCCACTCAGCATAATGCCGGGAACACACGCATCTGTCGCATAACGAAAGAAATTATGATTACATACTTATTTTCTAGACTTAATATGACACAGTTTTATTTTAAACGAGTAATGATAATCCTTGAATTCGGTAATAGAATATTTTTTTTAATGAAATGAACAAAGCTCGACTATCATTTTATTTTATTTAGTAATTATTTTAATTATGTATTTATGAACCTGTAACTCAAGTTTTACAGTCTCAAAGGCAAAAATAAAAAACAATGTTTACCGGTAAAGCACGACCATCATGTACGCTATGACAGCGACACTGATTGTGCACAGGATGGCCAGTAGAAGGATCTCCATCGGCGTGGTAGGATATATTGGTAAGTCAGAACCTTTGCCCCATGCGTGAGGCTGGCTTTTCCCTTCTATTAACTCGAACTCTGAAAGCAGGAAAAATAGAATTTTTTAAAGAAATTATCAAGACACAGGCATAGAATAATAGAATTTCTGAAATATATTATAGTTTTATATCAACATTTAATAAAATTTTGAAAAAGTTACAAATGATGTGAATATCATTATTTCTTTGTTTTTTTTTTTTATGAATAATGTGTTAGGAATCGGAATGCTAGCCGATATTTGACCCAAAAATTCAGAAAAATGTTTATAATTTTCTTGATTGAAATATTTTTTCAGTGGTAAAATTTAGGATGTGATATCGTCCGACATATAACCTCATCATTAAATAAGCTTTATATTTTTACATAAGTACATCAATATTTGAAAACTTTGCTGACCATAATATAAAGACCATTTGTGTGTCATTTTTTTTTCATTTCAAAATAATACTCTATGTGTCTAATTATCGACCGAAATATTTCAAACTTATTGCAGCTCAAGCCCTTTTTTCCAATGTTCCTTTCAAAACAAATAAACATTTAAATGTTGAACCCTGTCATAACGATGCGACTAAAAAAATGTAAAATTATGACAACATGAATTTAGTTTCTAATATACGAATCCTCTAGAGATCGTAAGGCTTTAAACAACTGAACAAAGGACGTTGATAAGTCTCAGATGGGTTATTAGTGTAATAAAAATTTTGTCTTTCAACAACAACAATTGGGTTTTTGTAAAGGTTGCTGTAGCCAACCTGATACCGCTGTTACTTTAATAGAGAAAAAAATTGGCGCCTGGCAGGAATCACGGGATGCCAAAGGTATAATATATTATTATATAGAGGGTCATATGGTGCGATCTCATAAAAGCATTTGATTGCGACGACTACGTTTAATGCAGTGTCTTATGGCATCTAACATGTTTTTATTAAATTGCTTCGAATGAGACGGACATCAATATGTATGGTCTTTTTAAATAAAAAATAAACTAGCAAAACTTGGGTAAAGTATCTTAAATCGAAAAAAAACCTTTACCTGGCAACATATCGATGGGATCGAGCGCAGCTGCTAATGCTTGCCATCGTAGCGGCGGTGGATCCCTTTCATCGGGGTTCCGTACTCCGGCTGCCAGCTCAGGAGCTACGCGCTGGCTCACAAGTATCGGAGGCAACACCGCCACATGCCGCCCCGCTACCGACTCGTTATAGTGGGACAGTACTGCCGACCAGTGGTGTGATGATAACCTACAGAATATTCTCATCACTACACATCATACACTTCACAACTTCACAGTAAAAAGCTTAGGGAGTTTTTGGCTCGAAATTAAATCACAGAAGCAGTTACTGAGTTCTCGATGGCTAGTCACTTTTTTGTGTCTGATCCGAATTATTACACACTCCTAACTAATTTATTCCCAACCCACATGCCATGTGCTTGACATACACGACCAAAAGGTTAACGATCAATCACAGCATTTACTGTCATAATTGATGCATGATTGAAACGCTGATTCATTCATAACATGTCAATAATTATTGTTTCAGAAGCATAGAAGATAACTGTTTATTTAATACACATAATTTGATATTAGACATATTTCTAAGTATTCAAACATTATTACGACAATGTTCGTAAGACGAACAACGAGATGTTCATTAAAGGTATTTACTCCAAGACAAGAGTCGTTTACATAAATATAAAAGTTCCTATTACATAGCTATAAAACTTGATTGACTTTAAGACTGTGTTACGTATAACGTGTTGCTGTAATATCTACATAATATATTAATTTGCTCTCACCTCGACCAGGGCCGCGAGTGTGGTGAATGTTTTAGCATAATAGTATCATTTGCATCCACAACGTTTTTTTCCGTGTCAATATCTAGCATCGGCGGGAACACCAGAGGATTTCTATCGCTGTTGTTGTAAAACGCGAAGGTAGACTGCTTTGGTTCGTGCTTTTCATAGTTCCTTCTGTTTACTTCAGCTTCAGTTTTCTCAATATTGCTGATAAAATAATCAACAACGCCGGAGTTGTATACTATCATCGAGATCCACACCAACATCCAGACCATGAAGGCGCGTTGGAAGAACCGCGTCCTCGCCCACATGTTCACCAAGCGAATTCGTTTCGGTACTCTATGGTCTTGGTGGCCAGGACTAGAATTTCTTTTGGCTACGACATCTGTTGGACTGTTGTGAGCCAAGCCGTTTAATCTCGGATGAGATTTGGACTTTGTCATTCTTTGGGGCGAAAAACTATTTTCTTCTACATAGTTCTTACTGAATCTCCAATTTAGAGCGTTATTTGCATTAAAGTATTCTTTTAGATGCAACTTATTATTTTGGTCTTTAAAATATTCCATTCGATGAACATCGATGCCGAGTATCGTAGCAAAAAACGCCATTTGAATGAAGAAATCTGATATCAAACTGACTATCATGAAGATTGAAAATTCTTGAATAAATGGAACAAATGTAAAGAAACTAACCGTTAGTATGGTGATTTCAGTTAGCAAGTTCTTAGTAATGGACCAGCCTTCTTTACTGAGGCCTTGAGCGAGTCGGATCTTTACGTCAAGGCGTGAGTCAGTGGATGTAACGCTCTTGGTCAGAACTAAAACATTTTCCAGGCCAACGATAATCACCAAGTAGGGGAAAATCTCTTTACCTTGTAAACTTAGAGAGAAACCGAAATAAAGGCAAATACCCATTGACATAGCGAGACTTCCACCAATGGTGAGGACAGAACAAGCGGCCAGGCCTAATTTGGATCGGATAAATTCAATTTTTCTAACGGAAAAATAGACGTACAAAAACAGTCCCACAAATGTTATAGTCAAAGGAACCAGTTCTCTATAGTTGAACTGTCCTGGATAATAAACGAGGGTGAACTCGTTGACGTGAGTGTACGGCATCTCCTGGTATAGAGGATATATTTCCTTTAGTTTTTTTGTTAATGATTGGATGTATCTGAAAGAAAGACAACCTCCATTATAACAGACAGATATTAACAGGTAAACATTCTAAAAACTTTAGTTACAAGGAAAATTTAGCGCTGTAAATAACTTTTAAAATACCAAATAACAGTCAATTTGATTGAGATAAGACAAACGTAACGATTTGATAATCGCGAAAACCGGTCGAGACTTTGTTAAAGTTATAAATAGAATTATTTTACCTACATATAAAAAAGATACAGTGCACTGATGTGTAGCAAACATTTGAAAATAGATACGAATGATATAATACAGTAAAGCTTGTTTATATGTATATGTACACTGTGTACTAAAACTGGATAGATCAACTTTTTATGTTGCATACATCTATGTAACAATGTTCACTATATAACTATGAACTGTAAAACGTACCGTTATAGTGAGTAGGTATCAAATTTGACAACGATTTTTTTGCATTAAAATGCGTAGGTACATAATTCTTATGAGCATATTGACCCTCGAAAATTATGAGTGCATTTTGCTTCACGTATTAGAAATGAGATGAAGTGACGTCGGTCAAAGTATTTGGTAAAGTTGACGGAATTGTTGAGTGCGACCCGCGCATGGAGCAATTATTTGGGCGATCAAAAAAAATGTCTGATCCGATTTTGGGTGTGCTATTTGTTACGATACAGGAGAAAGTATCTAGACGAGGCCAAGCTAGCTACTATACGATTAATATCAATTACCTTTGGTCTGGTTGCTGGTAGAATATTGTGACGGCATACTGCAACACTCGTGGTCGAGCTCTGAGGGGATATCTTTTGATGCCAGTCTCTCGGAGTTGCATACCAAACGCCATTTCCGCTATGGACACCTTCGCTTTCTGAAGATTCTGAAATAGATTTGTATTTTGTTTTCTAATCATACGTGTTATGATTGTAAGGATGACGCATTGTGTGGGCAACCGGTTATTGTGCAACGTGGTACAGGTATTCCGGTACGCATTGCGCAACAACTATTTGTGTGATCGAAAATTTATAGTTCTATAAGTTTGGATGTATAATGCACACAGGAGAAAAACTCAACGTAAGATCGCCTTTAACGTGACGAGAAAAAAAGAGAGTCCCAGTTGTACGCAGCTTGATAATTAGGGCACACACGGGATAGTTGCAGAGGAAGATATATGTATACCTTAGTAGAATGTGATAAGTATGTATATTCCTTTGAATCTTGCTCGAATACTTTTTCGAACCACCTAATGTAAATTTTTATATCACGAGCTAAGTAAGCAGTACCAAAGTACAATAGCGATAACCTTATTTGCACACAAACATTTCCTTATTTTAGAAATGCTTTACACAACGATACTAGCATGGCATCGTAAGGTCTTTGTCCTTATTTAAATAAATAAATGGTGTTTATGAATCCTTTATTTGAATGAATCGTGTTGACGACGAAGCAAGAATAAATTTATCAACACTCCTACTTTTACAGACCTTGTTGAGAGCCGATTAAAGGTCGAAATCAACAAACGATTTCAATATGGCGGTGCAAAATTTTTGTCAGTAACTCAACGAAATATTTGGTTATTGATTTGACTGTAAGCGACTGTAATAAGCATTTTTGTGGGGAGAAAATCATCAAATGACTTCTCCCGTCCAGGGTGGGGCGTGTCAGACTCTTACTGACTAAAAACCCCCGTTCCTTATCTAGCTCTAGGCTGAGGCCGCGGTGCCTCATTGCGCTTACCCCGCGACTCCGGCTGAACATCAGCCCTTTAGGGCCTCGTCTGTGGTGGTCTATTGGTTCTCTGGCTGTGTGTGAGAAGCAGTGTACTTTGATACGCCAGATTTTTTTAAATTGTCGTTTTCAAGCCGCCTGCCTAGTGGAGTGTGATTATGGCAACCTATTTTGCTTATACGAGCCTACATATAACCCATTTTTGTTGTTGGAAACCTGTCGGCGTTTAGTCTCGTCTGGTGGTAACCGCACATCATTATGTTGATGGTGATGAAAGCTTTATTTTTTATCTGCCTTGAATCAAATTGCTAATTCCCTTAGGTTTCAAGTAGGTACGATGCGAAGTTCCGATAAGCAACAACTTTCTGTCGCAAAATCAACCTTACAGTTTCCTTGAACAATATGCTCAAGCATACCAGAAAGATGGAATGCACATAAAATACTAGTAGCAGCTATCAGAGAGAGACGATCACCGACCACCGTAAGCGCGGATCTGTGGACGTCGAGTAAGGGTAGCTCGCCGCCCGACCAGAACCAGACCCGAGCGTGGGGCGCGTAGCGTTCCGCGCGCGCCTCTAAGAGCCAATAGACCACCACAGACGGGGCCCCATATGGCTGATGTCCAGCCGGGGTTGCGGGGTAAGCGCAATGATACACCACGACCTCAGCCCAGAGCAGGAGAAGGAACGGGGAGCGGGGAGGGGGGTGTTAGTCAGTAAGAGTATGACACCACTCCCTCCCGCCCGATCCCTGGCGGAAGAAGTCATTTGATGATTTTCAAGACACAAAAAAGGGTATCTGTACATCATATTAGTATTAGTAGTTACTTAGATACAGTGTAAGATCAAGAACATCTAACTCCTATCTCGTCAACGAGGTAGACACGTGTAGAACAGTCGCAATACGATGATTCCGTTGAGGGCAATTTGCCTACAATCATCGTCAGCTGCATCACCTTGAAGAGATTACGAGTAATAGTTCTGTCGTACAACACAATGGGACTAGTGACGAAAGGAATCCTTGACTCTAACCATTTAGTGCTGGCTTTTACCTGCAGCTTTACCTGCATGAATCTTACTAATATTATAAATGCGAAAGTTATGATGTTTAGATGTTTTTTACTCAATCACGCCAAAATTTAGTGTGGGAGAGCCATGCTTCGGCACGAATGGGTCGGCTCGACCGGAGTGATACCACGGCCTCACAGAAAACCGGCGTGAAACAACCACAGCGTTGTGTTTCGCCGTGTGAGTGAGGTTACCGGAGGTACCAATCCTTCCCCTCCCCCAATCCCTCCTCAATCCCTAAATCTTCAAATCCCTAAAAGGTCGACAACGCACTCAAACTCCTCCGTTGCGGGTGTCCATGGGCGGCGCTGATTGCTTACCATCAGGTAATCCATCTGCTACTTTGCCGACCTATCACATGAAAAAAAAACTGCTGGACGGATCTGGACGAAATTTGGCACAGGCGTAGGATACACTCCGGAATAAGACATAGGGTACTTTCTAACAACATACCACGCGGGCGAAGGCGCGGGCGGAAGCTAGTTTCCCATAAACATGTCGTAAGCTCAACCATAAGAAAGAATTTAATTGGTTGAGAAGACATGGATGTCATTAACAAAGTTACGTTTGCATTAAATATAAGTAATTTATACTGTTAATAGCTGAAGGGGTAGGCAGGGAGGTAGAGGTAGGCACACAGTAAGACGTCCACCTTTTGGCAGTTATGAGCCATAAAATGTATAAATAGTTGTTTAGCATTTTGTAATATTCTATTGGGCATAATTCCTCCAATTCTCAGTATCGTAAAATCCCAATTGTACTTCACTCGACTACAAAATCAAATCACTTACTTCGTAGTTGAACTTGACTCGATTATCAAGCTAGTTTATTTTATATTTACCTGATAATTATACACAGTGTTGATGATGTTAGCATCGAGGGAAAACGACTGCAGGTTCTGTTGCCATAGATTGGCCGGAGATAGAAGCAAGCAGCTATATTCCGGCAGTACTCGTTCCATGCTCGCTTTACTATCTCGCCGTTTGATTCCTCCGATTTGATAACAATGCTGTAGCAGTGTACTCTTTCTAAAACAAACAAATGAGCAAAGTTCATGTTAGTATTGATCTGTTACTGTGTGGCATTATCACGGACTATTTGCTTTCTTTAATCAAGAAAGTTTTCAATAACTAATTTGTAAATTGAGAAATTCAGCTGATTAGCAGAAGCTACAGTATGTATATTTATTTATATTATAGACCTGGAGAGATTGTGTGTTTGTTTGAACGCGCTAATCTCCAGAACTACTGGTTCGAATTGAATAATTCTTTCTGTGGCTATTAAACATCACGCTACGATTTGTAGGAGCCAAGCGGCAAGTCAGAACGCACGTCAGAAGCTATTTGTATGTTACAAAAATCGATATCACTAATGAAATAGAATATTAATCGACGCTCGCATAGCATTTTAATTGAAAAAGTAATTAAAACGAACGACATTATATATCATACTAAGGAACTTCTAAATAATTTTAAAAAGTTTAATAAAATGCTTGTTTGTTTTTAGTAATCAAGTATTCTATTTCCTATTTAAAATGCATAGCATTGAGTGACGTTTAGAAAAGTAAACAGATATAATTAAAAACAACAAAAAATATCTTTAGAATACTGATTCCAATATTGGTATTTTTATTCAACATGATAAATGAAAATCGAATGCATTCGACATTAAATAATATTAACAGTATTCGCATTAAATCGCAGCATTGCTCATTTACAATTCGCAAAGCAATCAAACAGTGTGCTTCCATTCATCACGATTGTAAAATACTATAAATCAAAATAGCAATTTTTAAGAGCTGTTAATAATGCACTTCTGAAAAGTATTCACTAAATAAGCAATTTGACATTATTGTTTAAAATTTTTCTCTTTGTTATTTTCTTGACTTAACTATTGCAAAGCTGGTTCAGCAATTTTGGAGATTTACACTTAGCAAACTTAATTTGTATTTATTTATTCTGTTATGACGCAATAAGAGATCATTACAAAATAAATAAAGTAAAGAATGTTAATTTTTTTGCTTTAAATTGGTAATGCCTTAATATCTGTAGACAAATGAAGCAAGGAACATCAATAGTAATTAAACAATCGCATTACATGATACATATTACATATAGAAAAGTAGTATACATACTTTCCATTACCATAACAGCACAAGCGGAACATAATTTATTTGCATAAGATTTGTTTTACAGAAATCTTCACTCAAATAGCTTAGCTATGCAATGCAAATAGAATATATATTACAGTGTATAGATTGTTATACACAGAACAGGTCATCTTAAACTTATGTGATAGAAGTAAAGTCAAAGGCAAACCTAAACAGATAAAAAGAAGACAAAAGTTTTGAGCAAAACAGTCATTTTAAAGAAGTATATTAAATGACTCACGTTTCTGGATCTTCGTGATTCCTTATAGTCTCCAGCAATCTGAATACTTCTTGCAAAGGAGCCCTGAACGCATCCCACATCTTTAAGTTGTTGTTCCAAGGAGATACACCTAAAGAAATTTGAAGAAAATTTTTATTTGCTCTATGATAGTACCCAGTTGGCTATAAATTTACATAAGTAATGTGTTTGACGGATAAGACAGACACATGGTGAATCAAACCAAGGTCCCAGTATGTTTTTTTAAGCTAGCTGTTGTGATACTATGCATTATTGTTCAAAGACAATTATTTTTTTTCTGAAGTCTGCTGAATCATATATAATAATAAGTAAAATAATAACACGGAATTCATTAATAGTAATTAAACTTTAAAATTTTTTAAAATGTTTCTGTGTCAGGAAAATTCAGATATTTTATAAATAGTTTTATGCCTATTTTAAAGTATATCATTATCAAGGCAATCAATGTGAGTATAATATAATATCATGTTTCTTAATCCCTAATGTGGAAGCAGAACTTCCCATACTCATTGTTTATGGCAACTTGGAAAATGAGGTAGTCAGGCAAATATACCAATAAATAAATATGCCATGAAGTACACTGATATGAAATTTTATTTTATTGAAATTCATATTAGGCGAAAGATATAGCAGTGTAGTAAAATTGTAAAAATAAAATATTCATTTTAAATAACTAGTCAAAATGTCTGCAATCTTAAAAAAAAACAAGTGTTGGTACTTGACACAAAATTAAAACAAATAAAGTATTACCTATCTTCATAATGATTTGCTGCACATACAATAGAGGTTTGTCCTTTGCCCAAATGTAAGGAAGCTTCTGTGTTTCATTGTAAAGGATTTCCAAATGTGAAGGTCTTTCTGCAATGTGTATGAATAAATATTAACATTTACATTAATATTAAATGTTTAAGTGCTGATAGAATAAATTGTGAATAAAACATTAACATACCTTCTGAGCATTTACTCTGACTGCAATCAGAAGTAGTGAGATCATAAATGTCAACACCATTAAGCGGCAATGTTACTACAGTTGGTATGTTTCCAGGAAGCGGTACATTTAGTAGGGGGTAACTGAAAATAAACATAACATTCTAGTCTCCTATTTATAAAAGTTTTAGTACAAATTTAGGAAAAGGTTCCACTCACCAGCACAGGAGCAAAACAGATAATGCCAATGTGATTGCTGTAATAGGATAAGACGAACAAAACAGTCCGTATGTATAATAAATCTGAGCTACCCTCTCGGGCAGCGTGGACCCAGCCATTGTTGACAGTCTATAACTCGTTAACTGTCTGGGAAATTCCGTTTACTAATCTCAAGACACCATCGCACGAGTATTCACGTCACTTACAAAATTCAAAACGTTGTTTATACACGATTGTATTACCAGAGGCGCATTTAGTGCGGCCGATAGCGTGTGTAGTAGTGATAGTCACGAATGCTATGGTATTTCGCATCATGCACGAGCATGCCGCTATGTACACTGTAGACTCTGGCTTCTCAGTAGTAGAACCAATTATTAAGTATTACATCAACCAAAGCAACTCAACCACGCAATTTTGACATAATGACAGCATCACAAGTAACTTTGACAGTGACTCATAATACCACAGACTAAAAATTGTTCGGATACTCGTCTAATCGGATTGTCTTATCATTTAAACATGCCTATTTTGTTAAAATTATCTATCCAACACATAAAAGATTTTAAAGATAAACAATTTTATAATTTGTTAAATAATGTGAATACTGATAATACAGTAGCTGGTAATTGGTGTTTGTAGCGAACGTTTTTCGATGTAACTAAAAAAATGTACTCAGATTTTTGCACGTGAATTAGCGATTTTAAACTTATAATTTCTAATTATCAGTTTCTTACTAAACTTAACTTATATTCTAATTATAATTTTGAAATCGCCAATCCGCCTTGATCAAGTGTGGTGATTAACGCTCAAACGTTTTTAGTATCTTTTGCTTAGCAGTGGGCACATATAGGCCGATAATGATGTTGATGATGTTGATGATAATTAATTATAAGTTTGATATATCGCCAATACATCTTGAGTAAGGGCCGTGATTAATACTAGACCCTTGTGAGGAGAGGTCTTTGCTTAGTAGTGGATACTAAACTGGTAGGCTGATGATTTTGAAGCAATCGGTACCGCCCATGGGCATTAGGAATACTAGGAAGTTGCAAATTCGTTGTTGACCCTTACGGGATAACATTAGCATTAGAGTTTCTGGACTGTTTGGAGATTGGATAGAGGGAGGGGATGAAGATTGAGTATCCGGTATCCTTAAAATATTGACACTGTGCGCATGAGTTGTTTGACGCCAGTTTTCTGCTAGCCCATAGTATCACTGCACTTAAGCTAGCGTATTCATACCAAAAGTTGTATGACTCACCCTTACCTCAACTAGGCGACTAGGCATGCTGGGTGTTGAAGGCATTGGCGATGTGTATAGTTTCTAGACAACCTTTATGGACAGTAATTCAGTAATACCTATCGTGGGGTCTATTACCCGTATGATTGCGTGCGCTGTGGAATGCCCTCAGGGCGTTTATTTATTTGTGCGACATTGAGTCAAACTAAGGCTACTAGATATAACGAGTTATGTATATACCACATTTTCCTACTTAAAAGAAAACACAACAGTAAGCGCGCAGAAGGCGAACCGCATGAAGTCCAAGCAATGCAATAAGAATACCTATAATACCTCTATATTGAACATTTTGCTACAATTAAACCACAACGTGCAACGTGTTTACTGGACGGGGTGTTTAACGCAGCCACAATGCGTAGGTCCCTACGTAAACTGTTCGGAATTCGCGGCAACTCTATTGAACTGAAACGATTCTGTCAAATACTAAAACGGTCTAAACGCACCTATTACCTTTGACGTGGTTTTCCTGCTGTGACTTTGTCCGTAAACACTCGTGGTAATCTCACTGTTTTGTTTCTGGTTGTGCTTCAAAGCACAATGTAGAAGTAGGAAAAATGCTTAATGATAGCCATGCTTCGGCACGAATGGGTCGGTTCTACAGGAGTGATACCACGGCCTCACAGAAAACCAGCGTGAAACAACCACATCGTTGTGTTTCGCCGTGTGAGTGATGTTATCCTTCAATCCAATCCTTCCCCTACTCCAATCCCTAAATCCCTAATTTCCAAAAGGTCGGCAACGCACTCGTAACTACTTACTCTGTTCATTGCGGGTACATGGGCGGCGCTGATTGCTTACCATCAGTTAATATGTCTACTCGTTTGCCAACCTATCACTTTAAAATAACTATAAATGTGAAAAAATTAAGTCTTTTATAATCTTGGTAACTAATGATACAATAATAATTAAATGTATGACATTAGTATCTATTTCATTTCGATTAGAATTTACATACCAATCGATTAAAAATACATTGCGCATATAAAACGAAATTTTAGTATCTTTTAGGTGTAGATTAGTCTAAACTTAACAATAGTTTGGCAGATGCAATAGTTATTGAAAAAACAATAAGTTGAGGAAGAGCTCTTAAACAAAATACGCAAAAAACCAATTTCATTTACTAAAATGATCATTTTTAAAAGTGGCTGTTTAAGTGAATGTGCACCTCTCTGCCTAGTCCTTTGGGATAAGAAAACCCAGGCATTATTTATATTTATCAGGTTATGAAGATTCTTCAGTGCTAAGAAAGATATAGATTAGGTCTCAATAGATGGCGTTGCAGGTATCTCGACCTATTTTCTATCTTAATAATAATATGTTTTTGTTTGGAATGTATTCAAAATATTCCATATCCGGTCTCGGAGTTACGCAAATCTTGCCAGTCTATTTTTTTCTTTCTGTTTAACCTAGGTGCTTAGTTACATACCTATATTTTGTTATGCGCTTTAAGACGTAGCATTTCAAATATTAAAAACGGACTTCAAAAGATTTTCCAATTACAGAACATGAGGATGCAGGTTCGAAACCCGGTAAGTAGGTAGGTACCAATGTGACTTTTTCGAGTTAGGTATATATAGGAACTTTCTATAATTGTTTAGACACCACTGACAATACGATGAAGGAAAATATCGTGAGGAAACTTTGGACTTCTAATTTCCAATTATAAGTTTGTTATTGCTAATTCGCCATTGTCAAGTGTGGTGATTAATGCTCAAACCTTTTCCGTGTGAAAAGAGTTCTAATATTTTCAAATTACTTATAATTATTAATTAACACCACTTATTTCATTGTTGGTACCTACGTAAGAACTTGGGGTCTGCTATGTACAAATGCATTCAGTTCAACCAAGCTTCAGCTAGAGACTCACTCGTCACAGTTTCAAACACAATTAACTAGCAGAACTCAGTATAATCAGATTCTGCTGGTATAAGTTGCTATTATACCAAAGTGGAGCGACAGCCAACTGCCCTCTGTGTAATTGTAGGTTACCTAGTTTCCTACCTATATACATCCATTTATATGTACATACATTCAACAGTCTAAGCTATCCTGTCTTAGTTAAACTTCAAGATAAAGTTTGACATTTGTAAATATTTTCGTGCCCGTACCAGAATTAGCAAAAGTATCAGCTTTCAATATATCATATTATGTTAGTGTGAGAAATCCATGCTTCGGCACGTACGGGTCGGCTCGGCCGGAGTGATACCACGACCTCCGAGAAAACCGGTGTGGAACAACCGCAGTGTTTTGTTTAGCCGTGTGAGTGAGGTTACCGGGGGCCCTGTCCTGCCCCTTCCCCAGTCTCTCTCCAATCCCGAAATCTCCAAACCCCTAACCCCAAAATGTCGGTACAGCACTCGTAACTCCTCCGTTTTTGTGGGTGTCCATGGGTGGCGCTGATTGCTTACCATCAGATAAACGGCATGCTCGTTTATCACTTATAATATCTATCATCAGCTCCTTTTAAATTGAGATATTAGAATTAGCATTTTCAATATTTTCTTATGTATAATTTTTGGCTTTCCCTAATAAATAAAATGAAACACAACATTTTTAAATTCATCGCCGAACCAGCGGAACCAGTCACACACCACCTCGACCAGGTAAGCTTTAATGCGTTCTACTATGAAATGTTCATTAGTTATATGTTGTGAGTCTTAATTCATGTAATATACAATGGACCAGTTTCAGACTCTCACTCTTGTCGTGTATGTATTGAGATTGTCAAATCTCAATAATATTTTGCCTGGCAAGGTAAATTAAATCGATCTCAATTGACATGGGACTTGCACTTGTGTCTTTAAATAAAACACTTTTTTAATATATGGGTATTTGGTTTATGTTTTGTGTGGTGCACGTACATTAAATAAAATTTTCTGTTGGCCATTTTCCAAATCGGTTGGGCTCAGTGTCTGAATCAAATACAGCTGAACTGCGGATATTTTACATGGATCGAGTGTCGTTTAGGTCGCAATTGTTCTCTTACATCCATATCTATGTAATTTGCTAGAGGTTACAGTTTTAAAGTCTTTCCCTACGGTCGACTGGCCAGTTGAGTTCACGGTTTTCACGCCTACGAGATTACTTAATAACGGAAAAACCTAATGCTAAGAACTAGAGGTTACGACCTACGTACCTACTAACGAGCTTCTGGTGAATTATTTCGCCTGTGTTAAACTAGGAATTATTGATATTGGGTTCTATGTTTGACATGCGGGCCTACAATTTATTTATTTATTTTATTTTATTTTTACGATTATTTTTTTAAGAGTGTGATCTCTATCTGTGGCGTTTATTTTTTTTGTAGGACCACCCTGATTTTGCTTGTGCCCTTAGGGTAGCGACGGCCTCATGCACCGGGCTTTAGTTCAGACCCTGGAGCGGAGGGAGAGGAACTGGGAAGTCATCTCTTTCTGCGAAGTGGTCATGCGAGCTAAGGAGAAGGCTGAGCAACGATCGTCGAGTATAGAAAGACGATCTTCAGCTGGACGCTTTGGGTCCTACGCTTAGTTACTACCCGGTTAGAACCAGACTCACCCAGAAAGGTACCTAATATTAGGGTCGATGTCCCATTGGGGTTGCGAGTAAAATTGCAATTTCAAATTGATGTTGGTTTTATACAGTAAGAGTCTGACAGTTTCTCCATCCCACCTGGGGCGGAAAAGTTATTGGGTGATTTTCCGACTTTAAGAGAGATAACTAACTGAATAACCCTTTCCATCTCTACTAAGTAATAAGAAATAGGCTTAGCCGAAACTAAAGACATGAACAACGGCCAGCTCTCAAGATTATAGGACTAGGCTCACATTGACTAAAGTGATCGAGTCGGTGGGCTAACACTAAAGCGTTTATGAGTGCGCCACTGAACGCTCTCCGTATCATGCATCGATGCAAGAAGCAAGCAAGAAATTTCGTATTAGTCGTAAGAGGCTGAAGAAGAAAACCTACAATACAATAAATCAACACAAACAATACATACTTACCTATATCTATTATCCAAAACCAAATACTTATAAATATACATATTAACTTAAATACTTAATTTATTAAATCTTACTTATATTATAAATACATAGTACACGTAGTAGTATTACATAAATGTACTGTATAAAGATACACACACTATATCGTGTCATAATCCTGCTTACCCTGCCACTCTTTAACAGAATTTTATCTGTATAACTCATTTATTTAATTTAATAATACTGCTTTACGATATCTGTTTCACCGTGATATGACGTGTTAATAATTCACACTCACTCAATGGAATAATCTATTTTTAAAAAGTTCTCTTTTAGTGCACCCGATTCCAGACACCTAGTGATTGGTAGTCAATCGTAGTGTACAGTATAAACCTATAATTAATCAGGTATCGTATGTTTAGACATGAAAGAAATTAAATATTCTATTTACGATTTTATAATTCCAATTCAACAATTTCAAATTAATAATTAAATAAAAGTTTTAGTCAAGCAAACGTTACGCCATACTTGCATTGAGTAAACTTTAGACCCTATTCTTGGCACTGTATACAATTTAATACGTTGTTCTTTTAAAAAATCTAGGCACAAACTTAGAAATATTTTTAAAACTTTTATCATTTGTGGGGAAGCAAAATATTATTAAATCTCTATCAAATATGTTGTTTCACTATTAGCAACACTAAGAAAGCAGTAGAACCCAAGATAGCGAACAGAGCGAACGCGTCTACACATCGCAAGGTAAAAAAAAAGATTTTAAATTGTATTTTGCAATAATTTTAACCGTAAGTGATATAATTTGAGTAGCTTAGGATATTTTACTAGTCGGTATTCTATTTTGACCGATCAAAATCGATTGTAAATATATTTTATTCACTGGTTTTTTCGAGTGTATCAGATGTGATACATTGCCAGATAACCAATATTATAGATATTTTTAACTATGTACCTAATATATGACATCGCCAGAGGTGTGAATAAGTATTTATATTTTATCATTGCAGGTAGTTGGTCAACTAACTAAGCAGCAACAAAACAGATTAACTACCGACAGCTACCGAAGCCGGGAGCAAAACCTGATTTGGATGAAAGTGAATCATCGGGAGATGAACTCCAGTATTACGCAGGCCCAGCGAACTCCGACAGTAGTTCATCACCGCTCTCATTACCATCTTCGATAGAAAACCTCCATCTATTATCAGATGATGATACTGAGATAAATGATATTGCCGCGTCAACGTCTTTGGTGCCATACCAACAATCGTCGCCGATAACCAATCCTTGTTCGCCATCAATTTTATCGCCATACGTGTCTGCAAGTAGACAGCTACATTCTTTTGAGACCACACCATTGTCTCCAGTTCCATCGACATCATGTCAAGTAAATTTACCATCTCCACTAGCAATGTCGCCACAAGTTCCGGCACCACTCGTCAATAACTTGCTGCGTCGGAACCATCTGCAGTCTCCATTATCCCCAGCTACCCGCTCAAGTAGACCTAGAGTTGCCACGGTTCGGCGAAGAATAATACCACCAAAAAGATTAGCACCAAATTGGCGTTGCTGTAAATTTACTGGTTCTGCAGAAGTAGAAGATATTTTATTTGAGCCTCGTGAGGAAAAGAGTGCTATTGAATACTTCAAGCTGTTCTTCTCAGACGACATCGTCTCTCACATAATGGAACAAACAAATATCTATAGCACACAGACAAATGGTTCATCTATAAATATTACAGAAGATGATGTCAAAGACTTTTTGGCAATCTTTTTAATATGGGAGTCGTTAAAATGTGTGCATATACAGATTATTGGTCTAAAACTCAACGATACAATAAACTAGCTGAACTCTAAAAAAATTTCAATTACTCAGACGCGAAGACGAGCGATATCGGTAGACTCTCTTCCAACTCAACAGCTACGATACAGAAACCAGTAGCTGAAAGACCCCCAGATGCTGTGCGATATGACCAGATTGGTCACTATCCCAAAATAATAATTACCAGGGGAAGGCGTATGTACTGCACAAAAGGACAGACGAAGTTCTTTTGTCAAAAATGTGAAATACGGTTGTGTTTATTGCCCGATCGTAATTGTTTTATAGTACCACGCTAAGAAGTAAAAACTAATAATTACTATTAAAAATAATCTCTTGAGACTGATATGTATACGTACGTAATAAGTAGTAATTTATAAAATTGATCTCATTTTATTGATAAATAAGACTCATTAATTAGGTAAGACTTAAAGGCTGATTGTTGAGACCGATAATTATGTTGATTTTTAGAAGTTTCCTATTATACTTGTTGATTAAGAAAAAGAGTTTGTATTATTTTTATTTTTCTTAGTCTTGACAATGTGTCAAATATGATACATCGTATTTTTTCTATTGATTGTTATGAACATGGTAATGTGCCTTATGTGATACATACAATAAAACGTAAACTAAACAATTATATATTTTTTTATTATTTTTTGCCCTTCCAGTGATCACCTAGGAACACAATAATGTCATTTTTTTTCAAAAAATTTGAAAAAAAAATCTATAGGGTATATGTATAGGGTTAAATTTCTCTCGTAAACTTCTGAACCTCATTATGTATGAAAATTTTAGACCTACTTAAACGAAATAAATAAAAAAGTCAATTTAATTAAGTTTAATAAACTGGATTCGCGAAATAACAGCATATATAAAGTTAGTCTCGCTATTTCGTCGCAACATTCTGCTAAGTACCGGCACACCGCCTCTCTAGCTTATTGAAACTACGACAAAATAAGTTTTGTTTCATGCTGTTTATTTATATTTAAAGAACTTTTCTGTTATTTTATGCACGTGTTATAATAGTATATCTCCATGTATTTTGTTGAATCATTTAATGTTTAATATTTTCAATGCAGGATTGGGTCATTGGATTTGCGAGCAACGGTTTCTTTACATAGAAATCCAAACTAATATAATAAATCTGTCTGTCTTTTCTTCACGCCTAAACTACTGGACCGATTTCTGTGAAATTTGGTACCAGGCATAGTTTGTAACTCGAGAAAGGACATAGGATAGTTTCTATACCAAAAATTGTCAGGAAGTCACTACCTATTACAGGCAAACGGAGTCGCGGGCAAAAGCTAGTAAGTAGATAATATCATAGAAAAGTGTTGTGTAAGTAGATATACTTATATTGAAGTATTCAATTTCGACAGTGAAGTGCCAATACTTGCAAACTGACATTTTTCTAGAGACTCAATATCTACCGTGTTTTTTTTAATTCACAAGCATAATTTGCATCCATCACAAAGACATGTTAAGTGTTAACGTTTTGAGTTTTATGGTATTATCCACAAAAACTGAAAATCTATGAGATAAGAGAAATGGGCACTTCACCTTTGATATGGATGATGCACTGCCTGAACGTTGGCCGTCGCTGGATCGATTCTGACACGAAACGATTCTTCGTAGTTCACAAATTGTTGTTCCATTTTCAGATCTGGGTCTGATTGTAAATGTACCCACAGACGAATCGGCGGCGGCGACCTCTCGCGCTCGGCCTTAGTCGAGGCCATGGTGCGGAGTGAGAGGAACTGGGACGCCGTCTCCTACTTTTGTGAAGCAGTCATGCTCGCAAAGAGAGAGGCGGCCCGCGTGAGGGAGCAATCCTCCTCCTCACGCCCCAGCAGCCGCAACTGGCGACACTATGGGCGTGGGGGATCGAGGGACGATCTCCGGCCACCGTAAGCACGGGCCTGCGGTCGGCGAGTAAGGGCAGCTCGCCGCCCGACCAGAACCAGGCCCGAGCGTACGGCGCGTAGCGTTCCGCGCGCGCCTCAAAGAGTCATACGTCCACCACAGACGGGGCCCTAAAGGGCTGATGTTCAGCCGGGGTTGCGGGGTAAGCGCAATGAGGTACCGCGACCTCGGCACAGAGCAGGAGAAGGAACAGGGGGGTTTTTAGTCAGTAAGAGTCTGACACTCCCTCCTGCCCGGCCCTGGGCGGGAGAAGTCATTTGATGATTTTCCCCTCACAATAAAAAAAAAAAACCCACAGACGAATATTATTGTGTAGGAATTTAATTCTTGTAGGAGTAGGGCACAATTGAAAATAATTTTGCAGCCTACGATAGAACACGCCTGCTCCTGTTCATAAGCAAACTAAGAAGCAAATGATGAAACCCACCCTTCGGTCGGAGAAAAGAAATCCATTCCAGGCGTAATGCTTCTTGAGTATGGGTGGGAAATCCGCCATGACCATGAATTGGTGACATTTTGCCGGATGTAGCTAGAGGTACGATGATAGAAAGAAATATACAGTTTTATACCCATTTTCACCAGTTATGTTATAAAGCTAGTGGGATAACAGATACTTATATGTTCCTACCCAGAGCTAAAACTGCGTCTCTTCTCACACGGAGAAGAAATTTGACCTACATCATAGATACCTTTGTCAAACATGATTTAATAAGTACTATGTGTTAATAGTTATAAGGAACAATGGGTTTGATATGTTAGTATTTTAACCAAAAGCCCTAAATAAAAAAAGGTGTAATTTTTTTTTATTTTTGGGAATTGTAAGCTGACGACCATGCAGATCACCTTTTTGTTAATGATGCCCCGCCCACGGACTTCTGCCAAATTAGAAGAGTCAATATAAATAACCTTTGAAAGTAAATTATGACTAGAAAAAAGTGAGATAAGTACTGCCAGGAAAATTTGCTAAATCTGCAGCCTCGATCGATAAATGGAAAATAATCTACACATTTACAATACATCAGAATAATAATTATATAATTTTACAAAATTATTACAAAGGTATTTACGTATAATGTAACATACTTTACTACGTATAATGTAACATACTACAGCATTTGTCTGCATAATCAAAAGTTCGGAGTCACGCCTCGTCAATGAAATTCAGTCAAAGCGCAAATGTTAGCCGATGTTTAGTATAGTCGCTATCCCCGATTTAAATTCGTATCTTGTTTTACTATTTCTAGATAGCCAAAAACTTTTGTTGAGATTGGTGTTCAGAATATTCGGCTAAGTTTCATTTATCTCAGTTACTAAAGGTTGTTTTAGTTTTTATGTGAGTATTATACATACCGTATACTAAGTATTAAGAACTGATTTGAACCACCTCTTTGCCCTCATTAATTAGCCAACGTATGCACCTATTCAAAATTAGAAGATTTAATCGGGTAGATAATTTATGAAACTTTTAAAAATAGCTCTTGTATTTATATATGTATATTTTAATTTCCATTCATGATGAATTGTCATAAGTCTCAAACAATCTCTTTCCCACAAGCTCTCCAACAAGCTCTGCGTTACATAAAGCTTAATTAAGGAGGATAAGCAATTTCAAACTTATATCTTGAAACCGTAAGTTCACATTGCAATAAGTATATACTTTTATCGTATATAAATAGTATCTAAATAAACTTAGAAAATATATATAACTCGGAAAAAGGTACAGCGGTACTTGATAGGTTTAGATTCCACACCCTTTTCAGTTACAGGCCAGTCATGCCACCAATATTGTTTTTTATTTGGTCTTAATTCTAATCTGTAGTACTTACCTAGTTAGAGTTACTTTGCACAAACCCCTTACTTCTAACTATAGTCCCAAGGATTTAAAAATTTAAAAGAAGAGTTATTACATTATACATTGAAATGTATACAACTACACACACACCTAACTGAACTATACATTATGTTTTGATGTTTCAAAAGTACCTACTTGTTTATGGTTTAGTCCTGTTGTGGTATAGTTGGAATAGATGATTTTGACTTTGACTTTATACTTATTTGCGGACAGCGTGTGTGTTTTGGAATTTATTCTTACTCTAAGTAGAACATCAAAGAGACATGACATACGTTTACGTGGAATTTCCTAAATCTTGATGTAGCTTGTACATATACATATATGTATACGTTGAAACATACAGCCAATGTGTATGGTAATCTTATAAATAAAAATAAATTTTAGTCTTGAAATATTCCTGGATATACCTATAGTGAAGATTTAAAAGGTCAAAAACAATAATTAGTGAATAAAAAAATTAAATATTATTTATGTTCGAGGATTTACTAAGTTTGCCGAGTCGTTAGATTATGGATAAGTTTAAATGTATTCTTAAAAAAAAATACTTTATTTTTTATATTTTATGTAGGTATCTTTTAGTTATAGCTACATTAGATATTTAAAAGTCGTTTAACAGCAAAGTTTTGTTTGTTCATGATTGTGTTTATGTTGGCTTAAATTAGTTGGTTTCTATGCAAACTTTTCTGCAACGAACTTTGTAACAAAACTTAAGAATCGGAATTCTGTGTAATTAATTAACAATATGGAGATTATAGATGATCATAAAACATGGTGCATTCGACCTGATGTACTTTAATGGTGGCTGGTGAAATCAAGAATGTCCAATTGTACTGATGACCAAATTATATATTATTTAAAAAAACGAAACGTATACGAAAAATAAAAAATAAAACATTAGTTTTTCTTAAACATTCACAAAGAGTTTAGGTAAATGCAAGTAGGCCGGGCGTCCCTCAGCGGTCAGCGCATCGCTTGGTCGGTCGGGAAACGCAATCCGCGAGCGCTTCAGCGAGGTGCGGGACCCGACACCGTCATCGCATCGCATCCCGCTAGCCCGCCTCGCCACACTATCCGCCGACAGCCGCCAGTCGCCGCTCCGCAAGTCGACGCTCTGCACGGTGCACTCGCATCCTGCTGCTCGCGAGACGACCACTGTCATATCGCGCGCGGACAATTCCATCACTTATTCATTTTCTAAATTTAAAATTTCTATTCTTTTGTTTTAAGTTTCAAAATGAGACCAATTATTTTTTTTAAGTTTTTATTACTTTTTAACTTTTTAACTCTAACTTTTTCTAAACACTGCCCGCCAAAATGCCAGTGCTTCCGCAGCAAGGTCGCGTGTTTACACCAGGACCTTTCGACGGTCCCGAAGCCGGCATCCGACACCCACAGTCTGTAAGTATTCAATTGTTGTTAAGTTTAGCAAGTTTCCCTGCTCGTTTATAAATAGCGTGTTGTTACTATGGCTTTATAAATAAGTGTGAGATTCATAGCAGCGGCCGCGAGCTCCGGCGATCGCGAAATGTTATTGTTGCGAAAGCATCTGTTTCAGCTATTTCAAAGCTCTAATCTAAAACTAAATCCCAAGGCAACGCTTAGCGATAACTTCTGACTCAGAAATTAAAACACGATTTACACATACGCTATAATTAATATTGATATAAACACGAACACATCTGTATACCAAACCCACTATGTAGTTTGATAAGAAAGTTCCGCAGAAGCTTTTATCACTATCCCTACTCTTTGAAACAGACGGATACTGAGTGGGTAGAGTCTGACATTTATTCATAATACTTATTTGTGTAAACGCTCGCTCTGAAACTACCTACCTTTGTAATCAAATTGAAATTCTTAAAGAGAAGTTATTTTGCGTTGACTACAAATATTTAGCTCCTCATTTAACAATATGAAATACTTATTTTTATTAATAGCTTTATTAAAATTGTATAATGGAAATTGAAGTACGTTGTGCATAAAGTACCTATTGTGGGCGTTGGCCCGTCGCACGCTCCCGAGTGTATGCGCAAGTCCAACTTCAAGCACTTATTTCAATATATTTTCCATAATTTATAGGAAATAATGGAAACTTTATTGCTATTTTTAATAGTTCAGTATTCGGTTCGTAAGTTTTAAATGTTATTCTGTAGAGAAAACAGTAAGGAATGAAACCGGTTTATCCTGGAAGTTGAAGGTTCAAAAACGTCGGGCACAGCATAAGCCATGCTCGTTAAAATAACCGATATCACAAATATTATTTTCCTAAAGGAATATAGATTTTCAAAAATGGGAATGTATTTTCAATATGTCAACGAAATGCCTTCCAAGCTTCTACGCAGCTTTTGCGTGTAGCGGTACGGTCATATTGTCATCGCTGCGCTTACACAAAACTCAGTTTTATAAATCAGACTAGCTTCCGCCCACGGATATGCATGGTATGTTGATAAAAAAGTGGCCTATGTCCTATTCTGGAGTTTATACCTACTATGCCTGTGCCAAATTTCATCCAGATCCGTCCAGTTGTTTTGGTGTGATTGAGTAACAAAAATCAAACGTCGTAACTTTCGCATTTATAATATAAGTAAGAAGTAAAATAGAAACCTTGCCATAGAGTCGTTTTTCCAGTTATTGTTTGAAATAACACAATGACCACTGTCTTACCCTGCAATGTATCGTACTTTAGGCGAATTCACCGTAAAATTTGTATGTTCCATTTTAGAAAATTTGACGTTATAAAATAAAGTTTATTCTCGAAAAACACAGTTTTACAAATTATATTGGCAGTTTTTTTTAAATGAATTAAAAAGCCAATATATTTGGCATTTTTCACCGAAAAAATTTGAACGCTGTTTCTGCGATTTTGCGTACAGTTTCAACAGATATCTCTATGTATGTATGTACAGAAATAAAATTAATATTATCTTAATAAACGAATGTTAAGTTTAAGTACTACTGTTGCTACATTCTGTTTTTACAGGTGTCTTGTTTTAATCTATAGCGACTTAGCTTCATCTTACTTTAGAAAAAAATATAAATACCCTTTATTACTCATTATCTTTGGTACCATGCCCAAAAAAAAATAATGAATCTCCAAAATACAAAAGAAAATCTGTAGGAAATTGGATAGTTCATTCGTCAGGATAAGATTTGAAAGTCGAAGTCAGTTGCTACTGGAGCAAAGCCAGGTCGAGATCGCTAGTTTATTTATTTATTTATAATTCCTTCCTTCTTATAGCTAATGAAACTAATGTTTCAGTTCGCTACACTTGTTCGACTAGAGTTTATAGCGTACTAATGAAATTGCATTTATCGATTGCATTTCATGTTCGGCGAAGTGCAAGTAAATGTACTGCGTTTATCCTGGCTGCTCGTTCAGAAAAAAATATAATTGCTATGTAGATTTATCTCTGGTTATTCATATACACATAAAAAATATTTAAGTGTCTTGTATAGTGGTTCGCTGAATTGTTGAAATTTCATCGCCAGCGCCCGAAGCGGTTTCGAATTCTTCAAATAATCACCTCGTTAGGCCAGAAAGGATGTAAAAATGATAATGCAGATACATTGGGTGGTTGCTAGTTCACTTTTAGTTAACCAATTAGATATTTCCGATACAAGTGACCGTTAAGTTAAAAGGAGTTAACGAAACTAGTTCAGACTCCAGCGCTAATGAATTAATGACGAACTTTGAGGTTCACAAAAATAGGTTTCTAATATTTCACGTCTCGATACTACTACTTTTAACTCACGCCTCATTTATATTTGAAAAACAATTTGCTTTTAAGAAGCAAAGTAATTACGCAGGACATTTTATAATAAGCAATTTTCTTTACTTGGACTTTAGATTTTTAATAAAATACGTATTAGATGTTCTTTAATTATCTCCGACGTGTGTTTGTTTTATTAAAAAACGCTACACAGAAAAAGTCATTTTCTTTGAAATTAAATAGAAATATTATGAAGCTTTTATTAATTATTTACGGTAGTCTGATCAGCTAAAGTACATACGACACGGAGTTATGTAGCTATTCTCCAATAAGAGTTTCATATCGTGTTGGTTTGAGCACACAGACCGCAGGGCCAGAGCTTTATTTGTAAAAAAGAAAAGATAAATACTTAGCTAGGAAGCTGTATAATATTATGCTTGCCTTTAGGTCTGTTTGGTGAGTGTAGCTTAGGAACGCAGTTTTAACTCAAATACTGTAAGAAATATAATAACGAATCAAATAGGTTTCTCGCAGCGGCAGCGTTGATGGGGTAACATTTTGCACTCTAGCTAATGTTAAGAATTTTTACCAAAAATATTCCGACTTCAAAAAGTAAACGAAAAAGCAAAAAATAAATTTTCTTTTTTAGAAATTAATATATGTTTTCATTTAGTTAAATAGAAAATAATATGAATTACCATTATTAAATAATATAATTACCATTTTATAATCTTGAATTAAAAAGGAGAATTAAGTAAAAAGGAAAGTAAAGACCTTCCTCACAAACAAAAATCGTATCGTAGAACATGTGAGAGAAAAACACAGTAATGTGTGGGAGAGCCATGCTTCGGCACCAATGGGTCGGCTCGGTCGGAGTAATACTACAACCCCACAGAATACCGGCGTGAAGTAACACTTACATTGTATTTCGCCGTGTAAGTGAGGTTGCCGGAGGCCCAATCCTTCCCCCCATCATCTAAATAAAAGTAAATCCCTAATTACCCAAAAGAGGCCGGCAACGCACTTGTCTGTGAAGTCACTGTGAAGTCCTTTGGTATTGGTCCATGGGCGGTGATTACTTATCATCAGGTTTGCCGACCTATGCCATTGAAAAAATAACATATTTCGCTATTATAATATTAGTTGGGAATTTAAAACAACAGGTAAATTAATAAACGCATTTAGTAGCACGCAGTAGTAGGTTAGGTCAGAGAGATTAAACGCCAAATGTTTTATTATAAGTTAACCATGGGCAGAAGAAGGGGGAGGCCTTTGTTAAGGGGGAGGACTTTGCCCAGCAGTTCCGGCTGATGATGGTGATGATGATAATGATGAACCATGGGCAAGTGATCTCACTGTCATTACGATTAATCTATGTATTCGACCACCGATTTGCTATTTTGTTGACATTATGGTCTTCAGATTCCTGAGTTTTACAACTTTATTGTAAGATAAGTTAAAGTGACTGAGCAACGTGCAGATTTAAAATCTATGTATAATACTGTAATCTACTAAACGAACTTGAATCTGTTAGTGATCGATTTGAAAATAACAAAAAAAAAATAGCACAACTTGGTGCTTTACTAAAAACAATTACTTAAATCATATTCTAAAATCGAGATCTCGCCAATCGCAGCTATACGCTCTTCTAGCAAATCGATAACTTTGACACCACCTGATTGGTCAAACAATTGACATCGACTGGGTCACTTTGAGTTGATTTTTAGACTCGTCATACTATCTGGCGACTACACGGAAAAAGAGTGACAAATTTTAAAGGAAATCTTTATCATTTAAGTTCTTCTCTCGTTTATTCCTTACTCAATATGTAAAAGTTAGCACTGAATCTTACAATATTCAGCAGTCAATATTTTACATGGATGATGTGCTAAGAGCAAGTGTGATAAATGTCATTACGGTATGAAAGAGCCATAGAGGTCATTGGGGAGAGCCATGCTTTGGCACGAATATCGAGTACCACACAAAATGGCGAGGAACCATTCTTGCGTTGTGTATCTCCAATACCCATATCCAACTCATTCCCTCTTATACTCGACCCTAAAATCTCCAAAGCCTTTGGTGTTGCGGTTGTGGGTGCCAAGGTAACGCCGATTGTTAACCATCAGTTGAACGCTTGCCCATTTGCCGCTCTCTCCCATATAACAAAATATTATCTATACTTATATTATTAAGAGGTAAAATTTGTAAGTTTGTATGTACGGGGTAATCTTAGGAACCACTGGTCGGATTAAAAAAAAAATTTCACTGATAGATAGCTACAATGTTCCTGGGTGCTATAGGCTACAAAACATCACGCTACGATTAAAAGGAGTCGAGCAGCGGGTGAAACTGCGCGAGAGTAGCTAGTTGTCAATACTTTTGTTAGATTGTTGGCTTTTCAAAATGTTTGTAACGACTGACACGATGTTCATTACATGCCAATCGGGATCGACGGCTTAATGCTTCGAAACATTGAATGACACTTCGCGAAATTTCCAGTTTCCAGGCTACTAATAGTTTGGTTAAATTTGTTCATCCATTAGCAAATTAAACCTGATGAGCGAAATTGTCGCAACTTACGACATCGCATCACAGGGAAGGATTTGGAGGACTCGTCATAAATATTGTCAGTTGAAGAAATAAAGTTTTTCTTGTGATAAGGCGAACAACATTCTCACGTATTACCTG